CGGCTGCATTGCCTGAAGTCAGCGGGGCCGTGGGAGAGAGGCGTTCGGTGGAAAGATCGGCACAAAACTGGCATTGTCCATCACGGGGGAGGAGAGCTCCTGCAGCGGCATGTTGGCAGTGAACGTGGTCGGGAGCCGCGTGGCACCGGGTGGCATCTCCGCGGCCCCGTCGCCTGCTGCCGTCCGTCGATAGCAGAGCTACGATTCAAAAGGTGGTCACCGCTCACGGGGCGATGTCGAATTACATGGATCAGCCAAGAAACGCGGGTCACGCGTGCCAGGTGTAGGAGATAGACTCCATCTGCATGCACAGAAGGGAATTGGAAATGGATTTTTTTTTTAAGTAAACCAAGTTGTGCATTCCTCGTAGTGTTTATAGAATCTTGATTGCGAACCACTTTGAGCGTTTGTATTCTTGGGATGGAAATCAAAGTGTATTCAGAAACAATGATCCTGATTCACAGCTTGGCAGACTTTGCTTACAGTGCCATCTCTCACCTGCAAACCTCATCATGGAGGAGACAAAGCTCCGTCCTAGGACTCCTCAGGATAGTCCGGATTGGAATATTTGTCCGATTTCTTACCGAGTAATTCTCCATGCAAGGTAGAAAACAGAAGCACCCAAAGCAAGCCCATGGGCTATAACACAAAAATTCCACGCAGATTTAGGCCACGAACCCACTTGCTTAATACAGGTTTTTTTGGGGTTATATCGCGTAAAATAAACCCCGTATTATGGATGATATTGGTCGCGAAAGCCTACGTGTTGAACCCACTTGCTGCACTGCCGGTTGTACTGTCAGCTTTGCGGCCCCAAAGGTTGGGTGTCTTGGTGGTGCGGAGAGCGCAGGGGTCAGCAACCCACGGCTCCGGAGCTGCACGCGGCGGCCCTTTAAGGACTACTTCGAACGCGTTATTTATTAAGGACCGGCGCAGTCTCGTATTCACCGCACAGTGCATTGCGACCCTTGAACTCGTGAGGTTTTTTTACCGAATTCTAAAAAAATGTCTCTTCTTGTTATTTTAGCTACCGACCCCTGGTATAGCGTCTTGTGTGAAAATAATTCTCTCAACTCTGCTATTGTCATGTTCACTTCTTCACAGCATAATCTTTTTGATATTCCCATCATCATTGGTGATTCACTTATGAAGAGTGTTTCATTGGTTGTCCTTATTCAATATTCGACTCTTTTTCCAGCTCTTTCCATGTAAGTAGTGTATTTATTTTACGTCGAATATATGAATTGCTCTAAACATATTAATATATTTTTATTCAACTCCATCTATTCCGTCTGTATGGCATCGAGTTTTGCCCCCTCGCATGCGTGGATTTACTCTGGGCACTCTGGTTTCTCTCACATTTAGATGCTTAATCATTGCCTGAAACATCTTAATATATAGAGAACCACAGAGCTTGGGGGCGGGTGGGGATTTGGTACTCCAGCTCACTGCCTGGCTGCTGCCTTCCTCGTTATCGGTGGTTCCTCCTCGTGCCATAATTACTAATTATTATTGTATAGTGGTATCCGCTGACAGAGATTATATTATTTGCCCCCGTTAACATAGTGTCGCACACGCCACGAGTGCGAATTGTGTATTCACTCACAACATCCTTATTTGCAGTGTCCATCAATTATCTGAGCACTTTCTGTCTCTCGGTTACCCTTGATTAATTACGATCGAAAGATAGGAAGCGCAAAGACATCATTATAGTTTCGTGCCGATAAAAGGAATTGTTGCTATTTTTGGATGTGGCATTGTGAATTATTGCCGCAGTTCACATTTCACCAGTTTTGTGGTTTATGGCTGCTTCAGTGGGGTGTCAAAGCTAATGGCCAATTTGTGCTGACATCTCCCATGAAAAACGAGCCATCCAAACATCCAAATCACGTCCGACTGATTTTTACTGGCCGAATAAGTTAGCAGCCTGTGCCAGCGACGTGTGTGTGGTCTAGGGCGATTCGCAAGTGTGCCGGTGAAATTCTGCAGGCTTGGCAGATTCACTCTGGGCCCGGTACTCCCCCCAGTTGCACCGCACAGAGACGGTGGCACACACGTGTCGTCAGGTGACCCGTCACTCGCCCTGCTCTCTGGCCCCCCGTGCAGCGTGAGAAGTGATGCTACCGCCGTGGTCGTGCAACAACGGTGGTGTCAACAACGGTGGTGTCACCAGCACGGGCGACACACGGTGCAGTCCGTCGCACGTCGCAAACACAGCCAGTTGTGAAGCATTGCCTCGCATCTGCAGCCAATCGCAAACGGATTTGGCTCTGACATCATCGTGTCGCCGGCAGATGTACCGGGTCCGACCCCTTGCTCGTTATTGGCAGGTGGTTAGATAACAGGACACTGAGTGTTACTGGCTGCCATGTCTGCGAACGTGAATTTTTGGATCTGAAGTGGCGTTTGGAAGCTTCTGGAGAGCCCCTTGGGGGCGTGTGGATGTGAATGTGGTGTGTGGGGACTGCTGGAGAGCCCTGGTGGAGGAGTGTTGATGTGAATGTGGCGTTCGCGGGCTGCTGGTGCGCCCCATGGGGGCGTGTTGTGATTGGCGAGACGTCCCAACTGAGATGCAAATGATGCCATGTGCGTGCGATGTGTGTAAAATATGACTCGCGTTGTAGCCTGCTGCGTAGACTGCTAACATTCTTTCAGATCATTGAGAACTTCTATGAAGTGGAACTACATGTGCTTGCCAATACAAATATAATACAAGATGTGCTAAGATGTTACAGCCGTTGTACGTGAGTTACCTTAACCCCCCATGCCCTCTTTGTGTGCGCCAGCCTTTAAACGATCTGATAGTGTGTTGTTGGTGGTGTTAAAATTCAAAAACACATCAAGTTGGCACAGTAGGGGAGCACAGGTGGTGCTTTGGCCAGTCATCTCAATAAATCAACCCATGGCACCTGGGTCTGTCCCGTGACCTCCTGCCAGCGGGCATTCGACACTTCACATGTCCTTAAAGTGCACATAGCCTCGCACAACCGCCGTGGTGATGTCACCGCCACATAGTGGCGAATGGCGGTTGTTGTTGTTAAAATGCACTGACATTCAAGCAACAAAAGTCAAAGTGACTTCCTGATAAAAATTTAGGATTGAGGTGCTCATCTTCCATTTGCAGCCATGAGCCAGTGGTGGAAATTCCACATTCCTATGGTGGGGACGAGGATAGATATAGGTAAGTCCTGTTGACTTCCCCACAGCGGTGCGTATTTTATCAACCCCCCGAGAGATGATGGGCTGAGGCAATCCCCATCCAAGATGTGAAACACGACAACCGAATACTGGTTTAGCTCATTGGCAATCTTCAGTACGGTGCAGCCCTGCTGCCTTCTGTCGTAAGCTTTGCGAGCAGTCGGCACTTCTCACACAATATGCGGCTTCCATATGAGCAGAACTCAGCAGGGCCGGAGGCTCCAAGTTCACAGTCACCTCACGGGGTCTGTCGTGCTTTGAATCAGCGTCGCCACCTGCCCATATTTGATCCGGACATGGGGCTATTTTTTTCTAATTCCAGACAGTCCAGGACAGCTTGGGAATTGTTATCTGTGTTTGGGTGGCAGGAATTGATTTGTACTGAGAACGGGATGTATGTTGTGTTGAATTGATTTACAGTATTTGCACAGTTGTGATAGACACTGGTCGACTGAGAAGTCAACCCGGGTTTGATCTGTGGGAAAGGGGGCAACCCAACTTGTAATGGTGGGGAGCAACGTCAACTCGAACGCAACTCCCTCGCCGGTTGACAGAACAGCCTCGCTTGTAACAGTGGCAGCAGATGCCCAAGGCCTCGATACATGCAAGCGCACGATGGATCGAGTCTCTTGATTAAGAAATGGACACCAGTCCCACAGCACTCGCCCTCGCACTGCCACCCACCGTGAGACCAGTGATGCTTGGCAGAGCCACTGGCAGTCTGGCGAGAGGATACGGGGGACTGCGAGTGGGGAACACAGTGAGCGAGCGGTTGCGGTTTTATGTGCGGTATATTTTTACAAATTTGAAACGTTTTAATGAAGTCTGTGAAGCCAAATTTGGAGGAAACCTTTTTGCTGATGTGCAGAACCGTGAGGGAGGCGTGGAAGTCAAGCGGGGGTCAGGGCTGTGTTTAGTCCCGAGGGGCAGGAGCAAAGTGCAGAGCTGGAAATTGGAATTACTCACGTCATTGTCTCACTCGTGGCGGTGGCCAGCGTGCTGCGTGCATCCCGAGCAGCGCCGCTGAGCGCGCGCGTGCGCGTGTGTGCACGTGCACGCTCACGCACGCACGCGTCGTGCGCACCGTCTACAGCGCACGAGGCAGCGGCTGTGCGGGGGCGCACCCACTCGGGTGGGCTACCCCGTTTAACCCTGCGCACATACCGAGCGCTTTGAAAGGACACACACACACATGCACACACACACGCACGCACACACACACACGCACACGCGCACACACAAATGCGCACGCGCAGTTGTTGCGGCTCTCCCCAACGACGACGATCCCAACAAACGCACGTCAAGACTTTTAAAGCAATGTGCTGAAAAAATCAACGACGTTGGGTCGCTCTTTCCGCCGCACGTAGAGCATTTACAAATAGGCGGGGAATTTAAACGTGACCCCTGCCTCCATCACTCGGTGGCTGGTTTCCGCCACCCAATCTCGTTTCCTGTTCCCCTGGCCCCTCTCAACACTTCCAATGCTTTTCTGCCTTGCTACACCTGCACAACTTCTTCCCTTCCTGCGTGTGCCCCTCTTCATTCCGCACCTCTTTGCTTTCCCTCATCTCCCCGTGACCCCCATCTTTCTTGTGCGCTTCCACCTTTACGCCTCTTCCTCGCCGCAACTCCGCTTCTCCCCGTTGCGACGTCCTTCTGTGTCCTCTACCTTCTCATCTTTATCTTCTATCCCCATCTCATCATCTCCACGCTCCCCCCCTCCCCCGCCAGTGTTGCTCTCTTATCATCCTTCGCCCCCTTCTCCCTACGTCTCCTCCTCCCGTGCCCCCCTCTCCTCCCAGTTCCCGACGGCGGCCGCGTGCGGGTGAGCGAGCGCAACACGACGGCCTTCCGCGCGTCGTGGGCGCCGGCGCCGGGCCCCCCGCAGAGTTACCGCCTCACGTACCGGCCGGTGGAGCCCCTCGGAGAGGGCGGAGACGCCCCCCGGGGCCGCTCGGTCGTGATGCGGGTGCCTGGGAACACCACGTCGGTGCCGCTGCGACGCCTCAAGCCCGGCACGCGCTACAAGCTGGCGGCGACGCCGGTGTACGGAGGCTGGGAGGGCCGCGCCCGGCACGGGGAGGGGGCCACCGTCGACCGTGAGTGCGGCGCCGCGGCACGTTCGAGATGAAGTCTCGGCGCGGGCTTGGCCCGTGGCCTGCATTCTTCGCGTTTGGTTAAAGAGGATTCGGTGCTGCTGTGAGATGGTATTTTTATTATGCCCATTGTGTTGGCGCTGTGGGGAGGTGCAGCCAGGTGCAGTGTTTGAGAATGCTTGCAGCACTCGCGCTGTTGTCGAAGAAAAGTGGCAGAGCGATAGCCGCAGTGGAACGGGATGTCTTGACGGAGCGGTACGCGAAGCAGGACGAAGCTGTGCCAGCTGCAGACGAAGACGCAAGAGACCGGTGGTGAGGCTATGACGTATCCGTGTCCGTGTGCGCGCCGCAGCCACCAAGCTGAGGCCCCCTCGCAATCTGACGACGTCGGACGCGACGAGCAGCAGCTTCCGCGTGTCGTGGCGGCCGGCGCCCGGGGAGGTGACGGCGTACCGCGTGGCCTTCCACCCGGCGGGGGAGCGCGTGTCGCTGCGCGAGCTGCTCGTGAGCCCCGAGGACAGCAGCGCCGTGCTGCAGGAGCTCAGGCGAGGACCTCGCGCGCGCGGAGAGAACGGCGCGCTCGTTCGCGGTCGAGCGTAATGCCGCCAAAGTTGTCGCCTCTGTTCGGGCAGCGGTCCTCAACTGGGATGCGAGGACAGGGGGACGGAGCCGGTGGTCACGTTCGCACCTCGTGCCGTCTCAAAGTCACCGCGTGCACGTTTTATAGTTCTGCTGTTTTACTCCAGCTCTAATGCTCTACTCTCTTTTAGAACTGCCCTAGGCAGGGCCAAGCTGTTCCCTCCCACAGGGATTAGGGAGGGGGCTTGTCCTCACAAAGCCCCCGAGCCACAATGCGGCTGCAGTAGGCAATCAACGATGGCTGCTATGGATCTATCGCACTGACGATTACTAACAAGGGCGAAACCACTACATTATTGTACAGTTGTATCATTAACACGTCCTCGTTCGCCAAGGCCATTCCCACATCTGCTGGATCAGAGCCAGGTTGAGTTACTTCCAGCCAGCAGTTGTGTGAAGAGCTTTGAAGAGCATTGATATGTTGGTGTGTGCATGTTGATTTTTGAACTGTTTACATTTTCCAGCTTATATCATTTGCTCCCAGTTTAGTTTTACTTAATTGATGACACAATCTTTGATCTTTTTATCCGGTGTATGTGTCCCGGTCTGTATGTTTGTGTGTGTGTCCCGGTGTGTTTGTACTGGTGTGTGTGTGTCGGAGTGGGTGTGTGTGTGCCGGTGTGTGTGCGTGTGTGTGTCCCGGAGTGGGTGGGTGTGTGTGTGTGTGTCGGTGTGTATGTGTGTTTGTGAAGTACAGGTCTGGCACTCCGTACAAGGTGAGTGTGTTTGCAATGTACGAGGATGGGCCAAGCGAACCGCTCCTCGGCTCCGAGGTCACCACTCCCGACCTCCCTCCCGCCAACATTGAATGTGAGTAGCGCATATTTGTGCAGGCACATGACAAATGACAATCACGTCAACACGTGCACGTGTACAAACACGCGCGATGGCACGCACAAGTGTGGAGAAGACTATTGACACAACCTCGGCTCACGATGGCGCATGCCGGCATATGGGGGCACACGCTTGTAGACGGGCACACACAAAAACTTGAATGTGAACATGTGTAGCTCGTTTGTCAATCGACCGCTTACTTGGTCCTGGGGTGGGGGTATCGTAGTAGTTACTTGACCATACTTCACCACGCTGGTCAGTGTGGGTTGGTGAAGTTGGGGAGCATAGCAGTCGAGTACAACCGTACAATATTCTGCAGCGTGCATTTGCTGCCCACTACGAAGCACCTCAGTCTATCCACCTGTTCTGCACGGTGGGCTCCCTCCAAGCACTATCCAAGCTCATCCTGCTTAGCTTCCTCGAGACGCACCGAGGTGTTGCCTGTGACAACAATGTGGTTCGTTTGGTTTATTTTTTTGGTGCAAAAAAATAAATAAATTGGGCAACTCGTGCCCATTTTGGGCGGGAACCCGGTTACCCCAATAGACACCTGGCGACAGAAAAAGAAAACAAACACGAACAAAACAACTGTACACAGTCAAGTTCTGATTGGCAAGGTCGTGTGCATCAATAGACTACTATTATTTATGATGCAATTGCGTGCACGAACGCGCACGCACACGTGAAGGCGCACAGGCGCGAACAGGTGCACGCACGGGAATCCTCTTCTACCCGTACAATTTACAAACCGCGTGGCCAACCATTACCTGGGCCCAGCTTTTATTCCTTTCAAAGCGGATTCCATACGCGCGGCACGGCTGCCCAGACGATGCGCGCATCACGTTGTCTGTGGCGCGGAATCCCTGGGGACTCGCCCGCGTGGTGACCACCACCCGCTTAGCTCGCCGCTTCTCGTCGCCAGATCATGAGCCCTCAGCCGGTGGGGGGGGTGGGAGAGGTGTGGGGGGTGGAAGCAGCCACTCACTGTGTGGGCGCTGTGTGGGTGCAGACACCCCCCAGCACATTTACACGCGGCTAAACAAGAAACCCACCAATATTTGCACAGAGAAAATCATGGCGCTGCGTTTGTTTGTGAGCCTGTGATTTTCTCCCTTCGACAAGGCGACAAAAACAGAACCTTTAAATACACAGTAGCGAACTGATCTCGTCAAGGAGCATAGACCATCACGCGAACTCCGGTCATCCTCACAGCTGCTTTCGACTCACCATCGACCAAAGACGGCCACTGCATCGCGCGCTTTTCCTTTCATTGCACTTTTACATTTACATTGAAAACGAATGTCTTCAAAACTGAGGTTTTTGTGTTTAGTTTGTTGCCCTTCCCCTGCACCTCCGATTAGCGCGGTTGGCTACGTACGGTGCGAAAGAAGGTCAATATACATATATAGAGTAGCGCATCGGCAGTCGGCTCTGCACTCGCAGCCGACAGCTGCGTAGACTCAATTGCATCACAGTGCAGCAGAGAACCCCTCTTGTCCATGGTGAAGTGGGGGGGGGGGGGGCGAACATCTCGGATCCTATCTCTAACCAGTAACCACCGAGAGCCGTTTGCTCGTCACCAGACGCCCCCCAACCACCACAGTTTGTGGTGGCTACGCCTCCACGATCCCAAGGCGTCAGATGTCACATCAACTGGTGCAGCGGGCTCCCGCTGAGCACGTCCGGCTCCTCGGGAGATCGGTTGCTATCAAGCTCACCCCATTAGCTCATCGACACGCACAAGCCGCGGCACAAGCCGTGGAAAGTCGCGTTGACTGCCGCTTCTGCTGCTGATTAAAGCCAGGCGATGCACCGGGGCATTCCGCGTGGTGAGAGAGGGGGGGTCCCAGCACACGGCAGGAGGGTCCGCCAGCACCCCCCTCCCTCTCCCCCCATCGGCCGTCTGGGTGAAATGGCGTCACCCAATTAATTCAGTGAATCACTTTGGTATCCACTGGAAACTCTGATTCATTATTATTGTTTTTGTTGTTGTCACTTTTGTGCGTATCATTGTGGCAGCTCCAGCTTCATGTTTGTTTAATTTTAAAAGGCACGAGTAAGTTTGCTGTGCGATGAGCAAATCGTTTGAAATGACCGAACGCACTCCAGGGATGGGACTTGAATCCACTCTCATTCCCATCTGCCGATGCTGCTTCCATAGATGGTGCTATTGGCAAAAATGTAAAAACGCCAATCCATCACGGTGAGGCGAACATACACCAGAGTCAGATCAGATGCCTGACGGCTGTTTTGGTAATGATTTTGTGTGTGTGTGTATGAGCGTGAGTTCGCATGTGGGCGCGAGTGTGTGCGTGTGTGCGAGCGTGTGCGCGTGAGTGCGTGTAACCGCGAGTGCGCGTGTGCGTGCGTGCGTGAGTGCGTGCGCTCGAATGCATCTGTTTTCTTGTTTGAGATCTTGTGGTCTTGTGCAGTGGCTCAGAGCAGGAGCATGTGGAGAGCTGCACCTCACTGACGATGGCTTGCAACGGCTGAACTCAACAGTGAGACACGTGGCTGAGCACCCGGCGGGCTGCCTCGATCGCTGCCTGGACGGACGGGTGGCAGGCTGGCGCGCTAGCCGGCTGGCAAAAGCCTGCCATACGCGCGCACGTCGTGCACGACCGCAGAAGAAAAATCATCCGCTTGCATCCGCTCATGACAGCATAACAACCTTCCCGAGACATGATTGCACGGAGCACTGCTGCCTAGAGAGAGCATGTCGCCCTAGAGCACCGCAAGCGATGAAATAGGAGCGCTCCTAAATCCGCAGCGCCAATCGACGCGCAGCTCACGACCATTTTTTACTCTGCTAACCGCATTTACTTTCGCCCAGCGACACTGGGCACTCTCATGAAACGCTTTGCCCGCCCGCTCGCCCGACGTCTCGTTCCTTCACGCTTTGCCTGCTCCCCTGGCCTCCGGCCCGGCCTGGGCCCCGTCCCGGCCTGGCTGAGCTCCGTGCCGCCCACCACCCCCGAGCATGGAGAGTGCCGCTCGCTGCCGATTGCGTCACTGCCAGCGTCCACTTGCCCAGGATAACCCCTCCCCCGAACGGTGCTCAGACATAGGCAGAGCGTCGCGTGCAGCGTGCACCTGTGAGTACGTGTGCGTCTCTGAGTGGATGAAACTGTGTACGTGTGTATTTGTTTTTGTCTTATGTGTGCACGTGCAATTGTACGTTTTTATTCATTTGTTTCTTTGTATGTTGGTCGTAGGATACACATGCATTTGTTTCATGTGTATGTATGTGTGTTCATGTGTATTCCCTACGTGTGCGTGAACCTCACGTGACAGTGAGCTTCCAGTGTAGTGAGCGACCCCGGGATGGATGCCTTGCGGGCGTTCATGAACGATGAGCTCCGGTGTTCGCGAGCAGTGACCCCTGTGTGGAGAATCAGTCGGTGGCCCCCCTCACACGCACATTGGGCATCTATGGCTGTGACCGGTGTCCGGCAGGGTTAATCTAGATTTTACCGGGCCCAGCCAAAGCCCCGTTATCTGCTCGTACCAAATGTTTTCAAATTATAATTGAGTACAGTTGGTATTTGCGCCATTCTTGAAGTGTCAGGCGATCTTGAGGGCGCCAGCTCAGGGGCCATTTTGCCACGTGGTTTTAACAAATGAGTATTCAAGTTGCCAAATTTGGACTGTGACGACAGCACACGTAGCCTACCCTTTTGAATAACGTCATGGAACCTTTAACGTCCTCTGTACCTTTGGTTAATACGGCCACAGTATTAACCAGGGCAGTCACCGGGCTCGAACCGTGAGGCACTGAAACAAGCGACGAACGAGCCACTACTGCCCTGCCACGTTAGCGTATCGTGCGTTCGAGCCTTTAAACCCGGACGTCGTCACAGGAGATGCCGGCGTGCAAAGCGCCGAGGGGGGGCGACGATATGGACGAGGTGTCTCCCCCAGGGCCGCACCGTCACGCTCCCCCCCCGCCCCCCCACCCCCGACATCCCCCCCCACCCCGCTCGCCGCAGTGTACGAATGCGCCAGCTCGGCCGTGGCCGACATCGTCATCCTGGTGGATGGCTCCTGGAGCATCGGCCGACTCAACTTCCGTCTCGTCCGCCAGTTCATCGAGCAGCTCGTCAACTCGTTCGACATCGGGGACAAGATCCGCGTGGGTGAGCGGCAACTGTGAGGCGCGGAAGCCGGCGCACCTCACACCGTGCGCATTCCTAGCTACTGACGGCACCAAAGCTGTGCTGCCGCTGCCGCTGCTCTTTCTGCCCATGGGAAAATCCGGTGCTGGGGCAGGGGGGAAGGGTGTAATTGCACTTGGAGTAGTGCTACAGCTGCACCAGGGATCGGGGTGCATTGTCCTAATTATATCGGCTCTGTTTTTGTTGGACGTGCGCAAGCCGCGCAGATACCGAGCTCCGGTGAGAAACCCCATGCCTCGTGTCACAGTCGACACGAACAAAAGAAATCTGTAACGTCGCAGGCGTAGGCATCCGTCGGCAATGAGACGTGTGCACGAAGCGGTGCCCTGTGCACCATCACCAACCCCCGCACGCGCGGGACACAGGCGCAGCCAGGGACGCGCGCCACACGAGCCGCCGCTGCGTGTTCGGGTCGTAGAGTCTCTTTAGGAAATTAATCTGTCCAAATCCGAATTTGATTTCAAATCGAGATTGATATGGGCTCACTTACTCAAGAAGCTCGCGGTGCACGGAGCAACCCGAAAATACAACGGAGATGCGCACAGTAGCACAACCGCAGTCACCTGTGCAGCAGTATCGGAGTCAAAAATGTATTTATCCTGGAGAAATCCGATGAGCCATGAAGCCATTTTTCACACGTGTCCAGTAGAGGAGGGTCAGACATTTACAACAACAAACAATGCACAATAAACAATAGGAGTGCAAAGTATAGGGAAAGTAAGCAAATCACGAAAAATAAATAACTAAAGCACAAATATTTGTATTTTACTAGGTAAGGCCCACTGAGCTATATAGCTCTTTTTCAAAAGCCACTTGACTCAAATGATAGCTCGACAAAGTGGCTTATCATGTGGAAAGTATTGCAGCCAAATGATCTAATAGGCATGCTTCTCAATGTCGAGAGAAAAACCGGAAAACTCGGAGAAAAAGTCCCCACTACCATGGGGAGAACATGAAAACTCTAAATATACAGGCATCAGGGTCGGGATCAAACCCATGACCTGCATACCAGGCAAGGAAGATAACATCATGCCACTGGCCCACACCAAGACAACGACACAGTACCTCAATACAATTGCACTTTCAAATGTATCTATCGATACATGGGTAAGGATCAAAGATGCAAATTACTTTTGCCAATGTGGTAGCACAAGTATCGAGCGATAGAGAACACAACGCTGGCCGGTGTGAACATGGCCGGGTGGGCATGTCGGCGCGTGTCCGATCTTGTCACGTGGCCACGGGGTTGGTGGATCACGCCAACACCATCGTGGCGACCCCAGCCCGTCGAGCCGCAAGGTTACCCATAGTAGGAGGCAGCATGGCAAGCGGGCAGCTGCATAATCGAGAACACGCACACGCCGCTTGCACAGGTGACTGGAGACAAGGCTCCCTGCGTACGGACTCTTGAGATCGATAACGTTGAAGAGAATGTTCAAGCGGCTTTGCGAGTGGTGACAACAATAATGGTGCACGGTGCGCTACCACCTCAGTTCCATGATTAACTCAACCATTTCTTTCTTTACTAAAACGCGGGACTCAACAGCGCTGTGCGTGAACATCAATACAAAATTTATATAAAATGGAAAGTGCTTGCATATTTATCACTGCGAGTGCGTGTCCCCGAGCGGTCATGCGCACGTGTGCGTGTATGTGTTTGGCCGTACACGCGTGTTTACGATGCAACTGATGAAGCAGACCATTTGCGGTTTGGCATCTAGACGGAATCCGGGGCTCCCCGAGTTTAACTTCGCCGATAATAATTACCGGGGGCATTGCCGGCCAAACGGGTGCTCACATAACGGCGCTTTCTCACAGCGAATCCCAACGGGAGATCTTCATCGTCACGGCACTCACTGGTGCGCACGTGCGCGCGTCTGCGACAGGTCTGGCGCAGTACAGCGGAGACCCCAGAACGGAGTGGAACCTCAACAGCTTCTCTACGAAGGACACCACCCTGGAAGCCGTGCGCAACCTTCCCTACAAGGGGGGCAACACGCTGACTGGTGCGGAGATCACCCCACGGCTCCACGGCACGCACCACGCCGTGGAGCAGAGACCCATAGACACGCAGACCCATAGACTAGCGCAGAGACCCATAGACTAACACAGAGACCCATAGACTAGCACAGAGACCCATAGACACGCAGACCCATATACTCACATAGAGACCCATAGATACGCACAGAGACCCATAGAGTCACACAGAGACTCGTAGACACGAAGATCCATAGACATGCAGACCCATAAACTAGCACAGAGACCCATAGACTAACACAGAGGCCCATAGACTCGCACAGAGAACCATAGACTCACACAGACTCATAGACACGCAGACCCATAAACTAGCACAGAGACCCATAGACTAAAACAGAGACCCATAGACTCGCACAGAGAACCATAGACACGCAGACCCATAGACTAACACAGAGACCCATAGACTAGCACAGAGACCCATAGACTAGCACAGAGACCCATAGACACGCAGACCCATATACTCACATAGAGACCCATAGACACGCAGACTCATAGACTAGCACAGAGTCACCATAGACACGCAGACCCATACACTCACATAGAGACCCATAGACTAACACAGATATGCATAGACTAACACAGAGACCCATAGACTAGCACAGAGACCCATAGACTAGCACAGAGCACCATAGACACGCAGACCCATACACTCACATAGAGACCCATAGACCAACACAGAGACCCATAGACACGCAGACTCATAGACTAGCACAGAGACCCATAGACTAGCACAGAGACCCATAGACACGCAGACTCATAGACTAGCACAGAGCACCATAGACACGCAGACCCATACACTCACATAGAGACCCATAGACCAACACAGAGACCCATAGACACGCAGACTCATAGACTAGCACAGAGACCCATAGACTAGCACAGAGACCCATAGACACGCAGACTCATAGACTAGCACAGAGCACCATAGACACGCAGACTCATAGACTAGCACAGAGCACCATAGACACGCAGACCCATACACTCACATAGAGACCCATAGACCAACACAGAGACCCATAGACACGCAGACTCATAGACTAGCACAGAGACCCATAGACTAGCACAGAGACCCATAGACACGCAGACTCATAGACTAGCACAGAGCACCATAGACACGCAGACCCATACACTCACATAGAGACCCATAGACCAACACAGAGACCCATAGACACGCAGACTCATAGACTAGCACAGAGACCCATAGACTAGCACAGAGACCCATAGACACGCAGACTCATAGACTAGCACAGAGCACCATAGACACGCAGACTCATAGACTAGCACAGAGCACCATAGACACGCAGACCCATACACTCACATAGAGACCCATAGACCAACACAGAGACCCATAGACACGCAGACTCATAGACTAGCACAGAGACCCATAGACTAGCACAGAGACCCATAGACACGGAGACTCATAGACTAACACAGAGACCCATAGACTAGCACAGAGACCCATAGACTCGCACAGAGAACCATAGACTCACACAGACTCATAGACACGCAGACCCATAAACTAGCACAGAGACCCATAGACTAAAACAGAGACCCATAGACTCGCACAGAGAACCATAGACACGCAGACCCATAGACTAACACAGAGACCCATAGACTAGCACAGAGACCCATAGACTAGCACAGAGACCCATAGACACGCAGACCCATATACTCACATAGAGACCCATAGACACGCAGACTCATAGACTAGCACAGAGCACCATAGACACGCAGACCCATACACTCACATAGAGACCCATAGACTAACACAGATATGCATAGACTAACACAGAGACCCATAGACTAGCACAGAGACCCATAGACTAGCACAGAGCACCATAGACACGCAGACCCATACACTCACATAGAGACCCATAGACCAACACAGAGACCCATAGACACGCAGACTCATAGACTAGCACAGAGACCCATAGACTAGCACAGAGACCCATAGACACGCAGACTCATAGACTAACACAGAGACCCATAGACTAGCACAGAGACCCATAGACTCGCACAGAGAACCATAGACTCACACAGACTCATAGACACGCAGACCCATAGACTAGCACAGAGACCCATAGACTAAAACAGAGACCCATAGACTCGCACAGAGAACCATAGACACGCAGACCCATAGACTAACACAGAGACCCATAGACTAGCACAGAGACCCATAGACTAGCACAGAGACCCATAGACACGCAGACCCATACACTCACATAGAGACCCATAGACCAACACAGAGACCCATAGACTAACACAGAGACCCATAGACTAGCACAGAGACCCATAGACTAGCACAGAGACCCATAGACACGCAGACCCATGCACTCACATAGAGACCCATAGACCAACACAGAGACCCATAGACTAACACAGAGGCCCATAGACTGGCACGGCACGGTGTTCCACCCACCGCAAGCATGGAGGGCCCCGAGAGTGCCTGGGGCATGGGAGTGGGGGTCGTCACTTCACCGTCGGCCACACGCGCGCCACCTGCGGGGTTAAAGGAATCGCTGGAGTGCGGCTCTGTGCGAGAGAGCTGCTGCCATGCCTTGGTGCTTATTTCATTCATGCATTGATTTTGTTGGCAATTCAAATATTTCACCTGGAATATCCCTTCCTTGAGATGGAACGTTTCATTTGCCAGGGTGCCCAAGGTGTTGATTGACACCTACATAGCAAACGCGTATCGACGCGTATACACGCATGTTACATGTATAACGTTCACGGCATGCATTCACATAGTGGATATAGACGCTGTTGGGATAGTATCGAGTTGGCTGTTGGCCCTTCAGAAGGAGATGTGAGTTTGCTACTCTAAGAGGAGTCCAGAGACGCATGCTGGGAATTCTCCTGGGAGACAGAGGAACTCGTGAATTGGAGCACACGGAATTGAAACTGTTAAAACTGGTAGACACATCACTCGAAGGGATGACGGTCGATCATCCAAGGCAACAATAATAGCTGAGTGGCAGCCAAGTAATCGATCGCGTGAAGAGAATTCTAGCCGAGGCGATGGTGCGATGAAAAATCAACTCATCAGAAGGTTATTGGAGGAGTGTTACATTGCAGGATAATGAGGTGTGGCAATGGCTTGTGGAGGATTTCATCCAGCAGTCGATTGATCATGACTGATGATGATGATGACTCAAGCAATCCGACGCATGTCAGCTGAAGCCATTTCCTAGCATGCCAGCCTGGCCGCAGCCCTACACGACGCGACACAGTCGGGCGAGGGTGCACACGCGCGGGCGCCGGTTGACGGTGGGACGCACCGTGGTGGTGTGCGCGCTGGGACACAGGGCTGGCGCTCACCTACATCCGCGAGAACAGCTTCACGCCAGATGCGGGCGCGCGGGAGGGCGTCAACAAGATCGGCATCCTCATCACGGACGGCAAGTCGCAGGACGAGGTGTTCGGGCCCGCGGACAGCCTGCGCGCCAACGGCGTGGAGCTCTTCGCCATCGGTGAGAGAGAGAGCACTCGAGACTTTTTAAACAACTTTTATTGCCGCCAGCAGCAACAGCACTGGAGGCGATTCCGATATGAAATACACAAAGTCACCAGCAAACAAATAAACAAACACTGTACATCCAGGCGCTGAGGCGCTAAATGCACTGCGCACAACATAAAAGCCACGTGGTTGTGTTGGTCATCGCGCACGCCACGGTGACGAGCGAGCGCTTCAGCAGGTGAACGTGACGGTGCCGTCCACGCTGGTACAGAGGGCTTTCCCGGCCCCCCAACGTTCGAAGAAGACGCGCACATCTCCGGCATGTGTGTGGTACATGACGTGCTCCAGCCGGAGCCGCGCCTTGAGCAGGCCCCTGAACGCTGGAAGCACAGGGCAGCACAGAGCAGCCGTCAGTGTCTCGTCTTGTACACCGCCATCTTCGCCTGAGCGCAGGCGAAGATGGCGAGGTCATGGCGCTTGTTAGCCAGGTAAGGCACCACCCCATATACGAAGCTGCTGTTGGAGAAGGGCACCCCCAGTTTCCTGAAGATGTCCCCCAAAAGGCGGAACATTGGTTTGAGCCGCTGGCAGCGTAAGTGCGAGAGAGAGAGAGACAGAGCGAGAGAGAGCTAGAGAGAGAGACATAATGAGAGAGAGACAGAGCTAGACCGAAAGAGAAAGCGGCAGTGGCCTGCAGCCGTAGGCGACGAGCAGCGCGCTCGCCGCGAGGTTCGCGTGAGCGAGTGGTTGGTGAGAGCACCGCCCCGAGTCGGTGTTGTTGGGGTGACTTCTTCAGCAGGTAAATGGATACAGGTAACACAGATAAACACAGGTGCACTCAGGTAGACACAGGTAAATACAGGTAAACTCATATAACAGATAAACTCAGGTAAACACAGGTGCCAGGTAAACACAGGTACACTTATGTCCGTGACATATTAACGTGCATGTGCCAGTTTTTGGCAATCTACTGCTGGATGAGGACCTCCTCCCCACGCCGTATGGGTCGCGGGCGTCATTGTGAGCGGACTTCACCACGCTGGTCAGTGCGGGTTGGTGAGGGAGAGGACAGACTTGGGAGCATAGAAACACAGTACAACAATGGCTTCTGCCACACTGCTATCTTAGCATCTTGTGAACGGTGGTTGCCCATCCAGTCTCAATCTGCACCTTTGATTAGCACGGTTTGCTCCATACAGTGCGAAAGATTTGAAACATACTCTACATACATACAATCCTGCTTATATCTGACAAAAAAAAACTCGACATGCTCTTCTTCATAGTCTGCGACCCTTCTTCATAGTCTGCGCGACAGCACGCATTGCTGACGAGTGTATTGAGATCTTGTCAAACTTGCTTCTGCACCACTGCCGATGCAGCAGCAGCATCGCCAAATCATTTGTTGAGATCTGACGACGAGAGAAGGGGCGCATTCTCGGCGACGTGGCGATTCGGATCGTTGCGCCGTGCATCTGCGCGTGAGTCTCGCTCAGTCCGGCTCCAGCACAGGCAGTGTCCTCCTTGCAGAAGCTCACGACGGGCGCACAAGCATCCAGGGGGCGTGGGGCATAGAAGAATCCCACAAAAACGGAGTCGTCGCCCCACATGCACGTCGCGGCTCCCGTCGCCGAAACTAAACTATGAGCGCAACTATTTTTATTTTAACTAAACTGTATTTATTTTACCAGGTACGCCCTACTGAGCTATGTCTCTCTTTTTCAGAAGCGGCCTGACCACAAATGATAGCTCAAATAAGTGTCTTATCACGTGGACATTTATAGCAGCCACATCATCTAAACGCATCTTTCTAAATGTGGAGGGAAAAACCGGAGGACCTGGACAAGAAATCCTCGTGACCACGGGGAGAGAGACGTGCAAACTGAAAATTTACAGTAGGTGTCAGGGTCGGGATCGAACCCGCGACCTCCTGTACACCAGGCGAGGGAGTTAACATCTCGCTGCCTCGGTGCCTGGGTGCGGGAAGCCTGCCGGACGAGCCGGCGTGCCGCACAGCTGCACGATATTACCGCGGAATGTGCTGCTATTTCTCTGGGGTGCCACACCTGCAGCTCCCGTTCGGGGCGCGACAGGGCATGGGGTTGGGGGGGGGTGCTTGGCAGTGTCAATCAACGGGCGAGGCCGTGACGGAAGACAAATGGGAGACCCCCCCCTCCTCTCTTCCTCACTTTGCTCCCAGTGCGCATCTATAGAGGGGAGGCAACACTCAACACATTCTGTGTCAATAGCTTTGTGGTCTTGAAAGTAAAAATATGTAATAGGGGACGTTTCAGGCAATGGGCCCTATTCATAGCACATATATAGATATAGAGCCCAGAGAAGTACAGTGGTTGAGAGTTGGAGACTGAACTTTATTAGGGTGCATTGTCCAACCCTTATCCTCTCGATCACTCTGGCCTCTCTATTCATGTGGTTTGAAGAAGCTTTGAAAAAGCACGTCCCTCCTTCACGAGCATCTTCATCAGCGTCCTCTGGTCTGCTAGCTCACAGATTAATGTGTTTAACGAGAGCGGGCATAGATCGTGGGCATTTTGTGCAGGTAAAAAAATAACTCCGAAGCAGAGCTCTTATTCTAATGCAAATGTTAGGGATTCTAAGAGCATGTGCCTGGAATTATTGTGTTTAAAAGTGCCCTGCTATTAAATTTTTACTTAAAACTTTCGTGACTGCAGGAATTCATATTCAATGGTTCTTTCGGTAAAGTCACGTAGATAGGAAAAATAATAACAGTAAAATTCTGAAAATGAAAATAAAATGAATACAAAAAATAACACGACGTTTCGATCGCAACACAAGCAATTGTAATCATGATAAAAAAAACGATTGCTTGTGTTGTGATCGAAACGTCGTGATATTTGTTTTATTCACTTCATTTTTATTGTTATTATTTTTTCCATCTACGTGACTTTACCGAAAGAACCATCGAATATGCCCCGTTATTTTAAAAGGAGCCCCTCTGCTTTTGCCCTCTTGAGAATTGTGCCAGAGCCTGTTTCTTTGCCAGGTGGCCTCACTTGAACCCTTTGCTTCAGCCAATAAAATCCCCCATAAATGTCAAGAGCCTGTGTGGTGGCACCCACTATCACTGCCCTGAGCTCCCCACGCCTTCCCTTCTTGATCCCCATCTGCTGTTTTCTTATTTCATTCTCATAGAGGTTGAATAGGCGGTCGCGCAGAGGGGGTTTCGGTTCGCAGCTTTCCTCCGTGCGTGAATCGGTGCGGCCACAATGAATTATCCGAGCCGGGCACGGGTGGCACGGAGGTTGGCGCCTGTCGAATCCGTCTCGATAGAACGCAGGATCTTTGTCGTGGTTAGGTGGAGTGCCCGAGGCTCTGTGCGCACGCCAGTGTCCGTGCATCGTCGGTCACCTGGCGAGTGCTCTGCAGATAAAGGGTGATTTATTTTACAGATTCCTCACTGCGATCTTAGGGAGAATTTATAGAGAAAGTGAAGCCTCTCCCACCAATCTCAAAACACATAAAATCGGCTGACGCTCTGCTCTGTAATGTATGGCACCATTGCTTAAGCGATCTTCAGTGGGGTATCCATGAACGGATTAGTATGTATATTGCAAAGCACCTTTCCCACCAAAAAATATCCCACGTGGTAACAGGTGACGTCACTTTATCAGAATGTCCATACGTGATATATGTTAATGATCCGAACATCTACAAGAGGATCCAACATCCTTATATTTCTACCAATCCAATAGCTGAAGTTTTAAAAATGCTAAACTCATTATTCAGTCTGGTGTTCACGCAACGCTGCTCCCACAGAGGTCAACGTATTCCCAAACTGCCGTGTTTACGCACAGCACTGTGTGGAATAACGCATGTGCAAGTGGACGTGTTACACGCGTACACCCCTTTGCATCAATCCGCTGTTGTACGAGGGCCTCCCCCATGCCGTGCGGGTCGTGGGGGGGTTGTTTGACCGTACTTCACCACGTTGGCGGGCGCGGATTGGTGAAAGCGGTGAGCGTGGACGCGAGGAGCGTAGTACAGCAGGACAAATGGATTATTGTTGCGCCGCTGTTGTCCGCGGCGTGGCGTCTCTTCGCGTGGCTTCCCGTGGCGGCGGCGGCCGACTGGGGGTGGCGGTAGTGCTCGCCGTGTCCCGCGCGTGAGCCCCGTCTGCGGCGTGCGTGTCCTCCGCTCGCCCAGGCGTGAAGAACGCGGACGAGAACGAGCTAAAGCAGATCGCCACCGACCCCGACGACACGCACGTGTACAACGTGGCCGACTTCAGCGCCATGGCCACCATCGTGGGCAGCCTCAGCAAGACGGTGTGCCGCAGCGTCGACTTCCCCGGTGGGTGGCCGCGTCTGTCTCTCAATACTCGTGCGCTCATCACCCCGGCGACCGTTGTGACATTTTTGCAGCTTGATGTTACTCGTTCTCTTTTTCTTTTGAAGTCATTTGTCAGAGTCAAGATTCGTTACAGGAAATGTATTTTACGGAATGAAATAAGAAGAATAGGCTTTACCCTTTCTGGCTATAAATGATATGTTCAAACACCAAATAGACACCTCCTATTGCAAGGTATAAAGTCTGCATTGCCAGAAAGGATGAAGCCTATTCTTATTTTTCCATCATTTTCATATTGGCAAAACAGTCCCATGGATTTTGGACTTAATATCGGTTACGTTTCTGCATTATTTTCGATGTATTCTGGAATCCCCTGATTTCTGTTTGCTTGATTGCTGTTGTTACTTTTGGCATTTTGGTGACCTCGGTTCCTCTTGCAGATGAGAATATCCTGGCTTCTTTAGGTCTCGCCCAGTTAAACAAAATCAACTTGAAATGTCAGTGCTTGCGGTCAGAGGAGGCCACAGCGCAGTGCAATGTGGATTTGTATTTCGTGTAAATGCGACCTGATCTCAAGGCACAGCAGCAGTCAGCGTATTTACTTTATGGAGAAACAGAGGCAGTCAGTCAAAGAATTTCTTCAGTCTGGACCTGAGCAGGGGAAGATAGTCAACAGCACGGATGGCTGGGGAAACGGAGTTCCAAACTGTGAGGGTAGCAAAAGAGAATGAGCAACGTTGTAGCTTGGTGGCACCTCTGTCATTTGTACCTTCGGCTGAGAAGAGGTCGAATTGACAGAGCTGAGAAGGAGCCTTTAACCTTCATGCTCTGGCCACTGAGGCTGCGCTACGGATGGACTGGCTGCCGCTCACTGCAGGCGTAGACAACCTATGGCACCGTGAGCAGTGTGTGGTCCATGATTTAATTTCACACAGCCCACGGCCACATGAGGCCAACAGCTTCACTATTGTCTAGCAAATATTATCTCACAATCACTCCGAGCATTTTATCTGCACTGATTGGGTACCAGAGAGGGATATCTTTGACCTGGCAACATTGGGTTTCCACTTTTTTTCATAACCTGTCACGTCTGCAACTGCGAGGGCCTCCTCCTGCAGTGACAGAGGTGATTGAGCCGTGTTCATATGGGACCCCACCAAAGGTGTTTTAAAGTCCTGTTTGGCCTCAGTAAGGAATAGTTTCCCACTCGTGTTTGAGGGGATGTGGGTTATGGGAACTTTTCAAATGAGCTGGAAAGAAAGAGAATGATTGATCATTTAACAAAAAAACCTGTCTGCAATGAAATTAACTTGGGACACATTTATATCGAATAGTTTGTGATGCTTGAAATAAAACATCATGAGGCACCAAAATTTTAGACATGGCCAGACCACAAAACTATACCAGAGATGGGGAAATTATTAGCATTTTACATTATTTTTAAGTTAATGAACATTTTGATGTAATAATTTGTATTTCGTTATGGGTTGGTTTCTTTTTATATCACAAACCACAACCCGAGCTCTCAGCCCAAACTCTGAGTGATTTATGTGAATGTCTTACCATACATGCAGCCATTTTATGGGCCACGGTCTTAAATAACTAGATTCAGAGCTAAGATTACGGTCGAATAAGGAATGTTTAAAGCTACGCAAATAATTCCATGAAAATCTTGAAGATCGTAAACACGTCACATTCCGCAAATAATTTCCAGGGCTTTAGCGCTAATGTCAGGTCTGACTCGGTTTTCCCATGATGAGCTCCCCCTCAATAAGGATTTCCATCCAATGGTCCATTGGCCAATCCTGATACATCCACGAGCTGCTCAAAGTAGGTGGACACACGCTGGCAGTTGGCAGTAAATGTTGGTAGAGCTGACTCATTCCTTCAGGCCAATGGAGCTCTCGTAATCGACCACAAGACAGCTGTCCAGCTGGTCGAGCTACTCGTGGAATTGCCCCGGCAGCGATTACGACGACACCGTGCCGTTTACAGGAGGGGCAGACCCCCCGCCCAGCGCTCCGCTCGACCTGGTCACGTCGGAGGTGACGACACGGAGCTTTCGCGTGACGTGGACACCGTCACCCGACCCCGTGGATCAGTACCGCGTGGTTTACTACCCCCTGGGCAGCGGGGGCTCCCCCCTCGAGGTGAGGGCAGAGGCGGCAGGGCGAGGGGCAACGGGGCACGCTCGGCCAGCGCAGCGGGGCAGACGTCATTGTAGCTTGGCTCTCTCCGATGCCTTTTCTGTTGTATTTTCAGGGTTTTTTTTTACCAGGTAAGGCCATTCGGATAACTGAACTAAGTGGCTTATCATGTGGAAATGTATAGCAGCCAAATACTTTTTGAAATGCGTGATGTTGATCCTAAATGAGGAGGGAAACATCGGAGGACCTGGAGAAAAATCTACGCAACCAAATATACAGGCAGCAAACGACCTCACGACCTCCTGTATACCAGGCGAGGTAGTTAACGTTTTTTTGGACGTTTCTTTGCACGTGCTGGGGTGCTGGGGTGCTTCCCAGCACGTGGAGCGACACGCGGTACAATCCGACAACACTCGGGCCAGCGGTACTGAACCTGCACAATGATGTCATTGTGGTTTGGCGAGACCTCGTCGTGGCCTAGGCAAGTGGTGCCAAGTGTCGAGCTGAAAGGAAGCTGACCTCTACTGAGGGCCTTCTGTCAAATCACCTCCCGATAAAGACCTCCCCATGCCGTGCTGGTCACGGCGGTTGTGTGACCATACTTCACCAAGCTTGTCAATGCGGGTTGGTTTAAGAGAGGGTGGCTGGAATCAGTTAATTCGTCATTCACCAGGTACGGGAGCACAGTGCGGTGACCTCCGAAGGCGCTTCACTGCCAAGGGTGGATCTGATCATCTTTGAGGTCTCGTCACGGGTCGGGCTGCTGGGCCCAGGTCTCGTCACCGCGCTAGTTACAGAGCTATGCATACTGGATGTACACAATGCGTGTAAGATTTGTGGTTTGCGTGGCTGGTATGCTAGTAGTGATCACTCTTGCCTCTGAGCCAACCGCCACAGTCAGGGATTTAATTTCTTAAATTCGTTACCATAATATTTACCTTGATTATTACCCAACTGTAAACTTATTCGTAAGTGTTGACGACTGCTTGTTTATGACAACGTTGATGTTGCTGATTATTTATGTTGAGCTTTGGTTGAAGATTTCATTAATCTGGCTGACAATAGCTGGCAGTGTTTGTGGCACTGTCGATTGACGTTGATAACGTGAAGCCGGGTATTGTTGTGACGGTCGTTGTGCCCAATGTGTTTGCTGGGATTATGAACCTCTCTTTGAGTATCGCTCGAGTGAAATACATAAAAGCTTTTTGTCACACTAACTATGAATTCGCTGAGGAAACAATTACTGTACAGCCTTTAGCCTCTCTGTCAATAAAACAGGAAGGGTTCAGATATTCAAACGCCACAGACACCTCTTGCAAAGCATCAAGTCTGCATTAACCACACATCATGCTTGTGGTAAAACAAACATGCTTTGATGATGTATGCATTGTCCTTGCAACTGTTTGGCTTACACCAGATATAGCCTCCTTCATAGCCTTGCTCAACCCGAGCAATGCTCTTTGCATTGCCTTTGGCCTGTTGGCTTTTGGCTTTCTCTGGTCTAACACCAGTGGAGACAAGGCCATAAAGAAGCCTGTCTCTGGTGTAGGACAATAGGACAATACATACATCATCAAAGGATATTTGTTTGCATGTTTTACCACAAGCATGTGTGGTTAATGCGGATGTGATGCCTTCCAATAGGTATCTATTTGGTTTTTGAACATCTTAAAACCTCCTGTATTACCAACAAAGGTAAACTCGATTATTTTTCCATACGTACGGTGCAAGAGAATTGACAAAATGGGTCCCATAAATATGAATTCCCTGCTGTGGAATGCCATTTTGCACGAGCATCTGTAACAACGAGATTAATCTCAGCGGGCATTCCTGCTAAACTAAACACAACACACAATTTTCACGAGCTACTTGATAACAAGCCTGCTTCTGAGTCAACGATGAAGCGTGTGCAGGCGTTGGCCATATCAGGGCCTGCGATGGCCTCCCTGCGGTTCTCCTGCCGGCACCCAACACCCGCGCAGGTCCCATGAGCCCTGTTGCTGAAGCTCACTGAGGTGGCCACCTGGCTCGGAGGTCACAGCGCTGAGCTGGCACCTGCTGAGGTTCTTTGTTCCAATCCAGGCAGCCGCTGTCTCGGTTCTCAAGTGAGTTGATGGTCTCAGTCTCGTGGCCAATGACTGCACACAAAGTAAAATCATATTCCACTTGAGTCTTCGCTCAATGCAGCTAAATTCGGGTCCTGAGAATATAACATCGTTTGACGACTCCCAGTTGTAGAGTGAGAAAGTGCTGCCCTATACAATGTGGACGACCAGAGGTCACCTGAAGGGATCTCAGAGGTAGCTCAGTGATATCCGCTTCTGTGGGTCGTGGTCGTTCTCTCACGTGAAGGCGGTGGCACTGCTCTGTGAGAGCACCGGATTGATTATTTTTCTGATGACACCGACTGCACAATTGGGATCGAGTTGGGGGAAAAGATAACATTCATAAAAAAATCCAATTTTCTCATTCCGATTGCCCAACTAATATCCTGTTTCACCAACTTCACTGATGTCTGTAATGGAATGCACATGCCTAAAGCACAGTTAGTTTTGGTTTCTCGCGTAAAGAAACGGCACCGAGCTTTTACGACCGCGCACGTCTTTGCAGCTGCACATGGCAATTCTCTGGTTCGTTTTGCTGGTCATGCCGGCGCCCCAGCTGCGCATGATGTCCGACGTTTCCCGTTATGTTGCTGGGAGCTCCGACTGAATTCGTAAAGGAAATCCACAATTCAGTTCCTCGATAAGCCCCCAGCACACGGAGCAAAAAACGTCGTACATCGTTGCCGAAACAGCACGCGGAAACGACTTGAGAACGCGTTGGCGAGCAACGCTCGGCTTAACTCCGCCGCAGATAAGCCAAGCGGCTCTGCAGAACCGATCCCTATGGCAGGGAGGAAAAAAAATCGTCATTTTTTCTTCCTTCCAAGTCTCACATTGAGCAGCAGAGAGGAAAGGATTGCTTTCACGTGGCGCCAGGGCAGACGCTTCGCGTGGCCGCGGAAGGTCTGCTGTGCAAGGAAAAATAAATCCGTCTCCTCCGGGGTCAGCACAGAGCCTTCTGTCCGCGACCCCGGGTGGGGTGTTTCATCGGCAGCCAAGTGCCGCTCCCACTCCCGCCGCCGCTGCTGAACGCAAGTCTGGCCCCCGCGTTTATTTACGCAAGAATGCTTGGCAGTCTGCTGCGCTTTGTCGCCAATTAAAGAAGCAAGAGGATGTGAAATGTATCAGCAATGGGTTTCCCAAGCCTTGATCACATTTTTTCGAATTGAGGGATTCACCCAGGGATACTCCTCGTCACGGTGCGAGCCCCCGTGGAGCTCTATCGCGGCCTCGTGGCTCGCAACGCGCGCCACTCGTAGGACTCACCCGGCCCCCACCCGCCACGGTCTTGGAAACCTGCAAATTTGACCTTTGAACTCAGTCATGCCTTTAAGTTCTCCTCCTCCTCACCAACACCCTATCCTCCTCCTCCCTCCCCCACTCCTTCCCACCTTCCCCCACCCCAGCAACTCTGAGATAGAGATTCAGTGCAGCCGCACCCACGCTCTGGCTTCGCGTGTACAACTGAGACAGAGCTGATGTCTTCAAGGAACGTAAACCATCATGCGGACTCCAATCATCCTCGCAACAGCAGCGGCTTTTGGTTAACCATAGAACAAAGATGATCAATGCATCGCGCCCTTTCAGATGTGCTTCTGCGGCCACTGGAACTTTCTGATTATTAGGAAGCCACTGGAGCTATGCACTTTTAAATCTAGATTAAAAACAATATTTTTTTAACTGCATTTTGTATTTAGTTTTGGTGTCCTACCCCCAAACCTCCGATTCGCATGGTTTGCTACATACCGTGCCAAAGAAGTTCAACATACATACATAGAGTGGAGTTATGCGCTCCGTGGTTTAGAGTTTGTACCTGCAGTCTTGCACACTGGAGAGCCTCTGATTGGTCACTTGTGCATGAGCTGTCCACATTTTTGGTCCTTCGCGCTGCTCCGGTTAAGCGTTGCCCATTGACTAATCCCCCGGGAACTGCAGAAAGACCAAAGCGCAGTCGCGTGCCCCAAACACATCACGGATACGATGAGTGGCATTGGTTTTCTTTATTCGGACGGAAAACAGGCCGTCCTTTCTAGTGCGCATGGCACTGAAAACCAGGTGCACGGCACGCCCGCCATGCGACCGCTGTCCGCCGACAGCGGCTCTTGTTTATCTCCCATCGCCTTCAAGGAGGCGGAACGGGGGATCGGAGATTGGAGATTGGGTGATCGTGGGAGCAGAGGGAAAGAGGGCAGGGCCCGGACCTTGCTGGCAGTGGCCTCCTCGTTCTCTCTAAACGCCGCCACTCGCGTCTCCCCCGCAGTGCGGCTTGGTCAAGTGCCCCTTCCAAGAAAACAAACTTGTAATGCTGCTCTATATAGGAGAGCTGGCAACTATTTCTTCATTTATCTATCTTACCTTGTATGTTATAACAGTGGCACAAATAGTTTTAAATGTTTTGCCCATTGATCATAATAACACATGGTGTTTTTGCTGCTGGCAGTCACGAAGTTTGGACTAGGAGCCATTTATTTCACGTTGCTGTCCTCGTGGCAGTGATTTATGAGTTTTCATTTTTACAAGACGTGGACACGGTGGTCACAGTTAAATGTAGAGCTAAAGTGATCGTGCGCACCACACGCACTTCTGGATAACGTCAAGGCACCCACTGCGGATGCCAGGAGCACGTTGTGTTTCATCTCGTGCCCAGTGCCAGCGACCTGTTTGCGTGAGCGGCCGGACTTGACTCACGCCGGTAGCTTGCATCCTGCCTCCTGCCAGGCATGATGTAGTTTTGGTCAATTAGTGGTCACGATCCGTGACAAATCTACCAGACTGTCACTCGTTGGCAGCCAGTACCAGACGCTGCTCACTTCCCTCTGTGGAAACATCGTAGCATAGGAATAGGAGCCGTTCTGAAAAGTGGCGATAATCACAATCGGTGTTTTGAGAAATGCGTTGTGGCGAACCGGCGTATACCCCCAGCACATTTCCACCACAATAAGTCCTTGTGTATTGCACGTTAATGGCAGGAATCCACCGTGAAGAAATTGCCACCGAAGGGAGGGTGCAACGAATATTGTGAGGTTTGCGCGCCTCTTGGCTGCGACACCGCGGAATTTGCCATTTTGTAGCCGTTCTACCCCTTACCAGAGAAAAATGTTGCAATCGCAGTCTCCGAGGCGGCCCTCGGACAGCTCGGGTGCGCGGGCTGCGCGGGGCTCCACTCGTCTCCCGCCTCGTGATTACACGGCCTCCCGTCCACCGGGGTGGGAAGGCTGCGTTGCTGGGTGCTCGGTGTCCATGCTGCACGTGGCCTGTAAAGCAGCAGTATGGAGGCAGCGAGGGTCTGTGGGTCACAAAATTCACGAAATTACCTCCCCTACCTATGGGCCTCGATGTTGCCCTCTCCTGGCTCGACAGGTTATCATGGCAGTACAGCAAGTGGATTAATTTGCATCTGTACGGAGATTGAGTGTTAAACCCCTCGTATCCGTGGGTTTTCTCCGGGTACTTCGGTTACATCCCACATGTTGAAATCCTCATTCGTAGAGTTGACCAAACATCATAAAATAGGGCCACAAAGCTTGGGCAATTGTTGGCGCCAGTTCTGGCTGCCTTCCCGCTTTGCAGGTTTCCGAAGCCTCCGTGCAAAAGCTGTGCATGCTAAAAATTCTACAGATACATTTCACGTGAATGACGCGATGTAATTATAAATCGTTATCGATTATGAATAAGCTAAAAACAATCAACACATTTGTAAAAAAACACAGTGACAAAGGTTATATAACAGGTGACGCTTTGAGCAATGGCCCTCCTCCACGGTGCAGGAGGCCGGAGAGGTCGAGTGTGAATGAGCAGACATGCCGTGCCCTTCCGCCAACCACACACAGCCATGGGTCAAGGCCCACGTAGCGGGGGTTGCAGCTCACTCTCACTTGAGGGGTGGTGCTTGTTGGTGGGCGTGGCCGTGCTGCGCTTGCTGGAGACAAATGACTTCATTGTGGCGATCAATGTGGTTGTGATTATACAAATATTTTTACAAATGTTGCCCAAAGTGAACAGATTAGAATATTTTGAGATAATGGTTCTTGGAAAGTCATGCCATGGCTTGCGATTATCCAGACTTAGTCGTGCAAGGGAAAACCTCTTTAATCGTTGCCAAAACAGTGTTTGCTTGATGCTGCTAAATTTACTGCAGAATCACTTCCACAGTTTATTGCACAGTTCGTGTCTATTTTTGGCGAGTCGAGCCTTGTGGCTGTTCCTTGCTGCATCGTTGCTGCACCTGCTGCTGCGGCCGCTGATATGAGGCCTGCGTTATGTACGTGGTACCGGCTTCTTCATGAATTTACTGCTGGATGAGGGCTCCCCCCAGCGCCGTGTGGATCATGGCGGTTAATTGACCGTACTTCTCCACGCCGGTCAATGGAGATCGGTTGTCTGCAATTATTTGTGTGCTACTCTTCTATAACACGGTATTAGTTGTGTTCCTGAAGAACACCGTTTTATGGAACAATAACGTTATAATGAATAATATACAACATGGGGTAAAGCACAGTCCACGATAACATGTGAGATGCGTACGCATGGGTAGCATCTAGAAGCATCCAGCAGTATCCCGCCTTGTGTGATTCTACGCCGAGGCAGCTGCTTATTCCTACTCACGCGACGTAGTTCTGTTCACTCGATCGAGCTATATCCGGTTCGCATCCGTGTTATACAAAATGTTCCCCAATATATTCATCCCGTTATGTCCAATTCGCGTTATGAAAACACGCGCTATAGAAGAACACGCTGTATTAGAATTACCCTCTTGTATTGTATAGAGACCGGTGATGACATTGCCCCGAATGGGCCAGATCTCGGAAGTGGTGGCAGCTGATGGACGAGACAGACAACAGAGTGACAGCCAAAGGAGGGAACACACCCGAGGGCAACCACCACGGAGATGGAGCGACGAGGTCAGCTCGTGTACAGGAGCTAGATGGATCATCGTGATGGATGGCGGCAACTTGGAGAGCCCTTCATCCAGCAGTTTATAGAGCATGGCTGCTGCTGCAGCGGTAGCGAGGTATTATTTCCTTGCCTGGTAGGCAGGAGGTCATGGGTTTGATCTCGCGTGGACTTTTCTCCGGGTCGTCCGGTTTTTCCCTCCACATTTAGAAACACGCTTTTAGAGTATTTGGCTGCTATAAATTTCCACGTGAAAAGTCACTTCGTTGAGCTAGCATTTGTAGCCAGCTCACTTCGGAAAGAGAGCTTTATAGCTCAGTGGGCCTTACCTGGTAAAAGAAAAAATATTTTAGTTTCGTTGATGGTGGTGGTTAATTGTATGGGTGTGGTATATCAGGCGACACTGGCGATTGCGCAGGATGGAGAGAGTCTGACCCACATACCTGACCAAGGATCTCGCCACGGGGGTGAGGACTAGTAAAGAAAGGAGAGGTAGTCGAGTGGCGATGGCGTGTAGTGCCCTCGGCATGGCGCGGCGATGGCGCGGCGATGGCGCGGCGATGGCGCGGCGATGGCGCTGAGGGCGCGGTGTGGCGCCGTGTGTGCATGGCAGGATGAGGTGGAGGGCTCGCTGAGCACCGTGCTGCTGCGCAGGCTGCAGCCGTCCACGCGCTACGAGGTGTCCGTGTTCGCCGTCAACTCCGTGGGGGCGAGCGAGCCACTCCGCGGGCACGACACGACACGTGAGGTCACACACGGCACCATCGCACAGACACGTGACGTCACACACGGCAGCACCTCACAGACACGTGAGGTCACACACGACAGCAGCACCTCACAGACACGTGACGTCACACACGGCAGCACCTCACAGACACGTGACGTCACACACAGCAGCACCGCACAGACACGTGACGTCACACACGGCAGCACCTCACAGACACGTGACGTCACACACAGCAGCACCTCACAGACACGTGACGTCACACACGGCAGCACCTCACAGGCACGTGACGTCACACACGGCAGCACCTCACAGACACGTGAGGTGACACACGGCAGCACCTCACAGACACGTGACGTCACACAGCAGCACCTCACAGACACGTGAGGTCACACACGACAGCAGCACCTCACAGACACGTGACGTTACACACAGCAGCACCTCACAGACACGTGACGTCACACACAGCAGCACCTCACAGACACGTGATGCCACACACAGCAGCACCTCACAGACACGTGAAGTCACACACAGCAGCACCTCACAGACACGTGACATCACACACAGCAGCAGCACCTCACAGACACGTGAGGTCACACACATCAGCACCTAACAGACACGTGAGGCCACACACAGCAGCACCGCACAGACACGTGAGGTCACACACATCAGCACCTCACAGACACGTGATGCCACACACAGCAGCACCGCACAGACACGTGAGGTCATACACAGCAGCACCTCACAGACACGTGATGTCACACACAGCAGCACCTCACAGACACGTGAGGTCACACACAGCAGCACCTCACAGACACGTGAGGTCATACACAGCAGCACCTCACAGACACGTGATGTCACACACAGCAGCACCGCACAGACACGTGAGGTGACACACGGCAGCACCTCACAGACACGTGACGTCACGCACGGCAGCACCTCACAGACACGTGACGTCACGCACGGCAGCACCTCACAGTATCCCGGGGCACTCCGGAAGGGTCTAAGTGGTTGTTTTTATCATCACTGTCGTTCTTCTTTCCGCAGTGCCTCTGGAGGGGCCGCGGAACGCACGCACGTACGACGTGACGACCAACAGCATGCGCGTGCGCTGGGACGTGGTGGCCGACGCCACGGGGTACCGCCTGGTGTTCGCCCCCGTCGACGCGGGCAGCGACCCCAACCAGGAGCGCGAGGTGGGTGGCAGCGAGACTGTCCGTCGTGCCAGTGGGGGCAGGGGGGGGTGGCCCTGGTAAGTCCAAGCTGAGCCAGCGGTGCAGGTGGTTTTCCCGCTGGATTTTTTTCTGTGCCCGGCCAGAACTGGACCACGACACGCTGGACTCGCAAGATGTCTGAATCTGGCTCGGGGCCAAGCAGGGCCAGGGGCAGGGCTAGTGACAAGTTTATTGCGTGCGCTGTCAGTCAAGTGCGCTGTGAGGACGGTGTCACCCCGCCATCTACGTGTGCCTCATTTCTTTAGAACTCATTGTTGTTTAGTTTGTTGCCAAGCCTCCGATTAGTACGGTTGGTTACACACCGCGCGAAAGCAGTTCAACATACATACACACACATACATACACATATATACAACCCGTTGATTACGTCTGATGCGATGTGGAGTAGGTTGTGCAGTCAAAAAAACAACCCAGGGCCTCCTAGGCCACTCTGCGCTGGCTCGGCATGGCCCTTGGCGTGCCTCAGTTGTGAAATGGAAAGGAGGTTCTCCAGAGAGACCGGTCTAATTCATTTTACCTCAAGGGATCTCTTTCAGGGGTCGATGCGCTACTCGGACATTATCAGGGGACCAGGAAGAGCTAAAAGACCCAAAGCGAATGGTATTCGTCAACGATATTGTGGGGTTCGTCAACGGTTAAGCGGTTGGCATTCGGGACCTACTTCAAGTAAAGGAGGAGGGTCTGTGAGAAGCAGCAGTGGAGTGTCCAATGAGTTGCATAATTAGACTTCGCAAACACACGTAGAGTCAAGTAAATATTTATTTCACGAGGAGATGAGGAAACAACCCAAAAGGGTGTCCTGGGTAAAACCTCGAGCATTATTTCGAAATCGTACGCAAAAACAAAGCACCGATACCACGAATTTGAACTACGATGACAGTGAAGCTGCACTCCGCACTGTGGGCATCTGTGATTGATCCGAGTAACTTCGAAGGTTCTGTTAATCTTTTAATGTTAACTCCTGCAGTAACTTCATCATGGGACCTCCTTTGCCAGTACCAAAATATGAGAATAGGTTTTCCCCTTTTTTCTGGCAACAAAACAGGTGTTAAGATGTTAAAACACCAAAGTGAAACCTTTTTACAAGGACTCATGTCTGCATTAACCACGATACTTGTGGTCAGAATGCAAAAAAACATACTCTGATAATATATGCATTGCCTTTGAAACTGATTGATCCACACCAGAGATGGCTTTATTTTGAGCCTAGTCTCAAAACATTGTTAGACCAGGGGACTCCAAAATCACTAACTCATTTACCCGAGACTACAGAGTCCTTGCCCCCAATCTCGCAGCCATTAATCCACATTTCTCAGGTCACGCTGCTCACCGTGTGGACGCTGAACCCACCCCTCCCCTCAGCTCACGGTGGGCGCCACAGCTAAGAACACTCTGCTGGATCGCCTCACCCCCAAAACCACGTACCGGATCGCGCTGTACGCACTGTATGGCGAGGAGGAGAGCCAGGCCATCCCTCTGCAGGACACCACACGTGAGTAGCTCGCGGAGTCCGTAACCTCTCGCCCCTGACCTGTGAACCACAATCCCCTGCCGATCTCGTCAGCAGGGGATTGTGGTACCATCCTTGCAGCGGCTTATCGCTGCTAGCCATCGAACAAAAACGATCCCTGCATCGGCCGTCTGCAATCCTTATTCTGACGATATTAGGAAGCTATGCACTTTTAAATCAATATTGAAAACTAAGATCTTTAGAACTGCTTGTTGTGTTTAGTTTGTTGTCCTTCCTCCGCACCTCAGTATAACATGCGAAAGAAGCTCTCAACATACGTATGAGGTGATACTCAACTCCTGTTTGCAGCCCGAGGTCAGTGGTGGACATTCGACATTCATATGGTGGGGGCAGGTTTGTCCATAGGACAGCCACTGTTGACCTCCCCATGGAGTGGTGCTCACTGTATTGACCCTGGAGGGATGAAGGGTTGAGTCAAGCCCCAGCCAGTAGTTGAACTCGCAACCTTGGGATTGCGAGCCCGCTACTGCCGAGCCACCTGGCCGGATTTGACCTCGCACATGCAACTGAAAATGAGTTACCCTCTGAACACAGTGCTTGGATGGGCAACCACAATGCATCACAGGGATTATAGGCTTTGGGGCTATATGGTGGGCAGAAGAGTGCAGTAGAGCAAAATACATATTGAACCGTACTTCTATGGCCTCGCGTCGATGCTCCTCGTTCGCACCGACCAGCACGGTGAAGTAAGCGACCCTGAATAGCCCTCCCGACACGCGCGGCACCGAGAGGCCCTTGCTCCATCGGCGGACCGACGCGGAGGGCTGCGCTCGTGTGACAGCGTATGACCACGTGTGACCGCGTGTGACAGCGTGCGACAGCGTGCGACCGCGTCTGACAATGTGTGATCACGTGTGACCGCGTGTGACCGCGTGTGACCGCGTGTGACCGCGTGTGACAGCGTGTGACCGCATGTGACCGCGTGTGACCGCGTGTGACCGCGTGTGATCATGTGCGACCGCGTGTGACCGCATGCGCGCAGTTCCCTTGGCGGGCCCGCGGAACGCTCGCACGCACGACGTGACGACGCACAGCATGCGCGTGCGCTGGGACGCGGCCGGGGACGCCTCGGGGTACCGCCTGGTGTTCTCCCCCGTGGACGCGGGCAGCGACACGAGCCAGGAGCGCGAGGTAGGTCCCCGTGCTCCCCACTCCCCACCCCTCCCCTCGGCCGGTCCAGCACCTTCCCGCTGATTAAGTTCCACCGTTTGAGATGAGGGGGGTGATCGTGGCCGAAAGCCGTTGATGCCAGGGAACCTCACTACCGAAGCTTTCTCCTCTCCGCCACATCCTGCAGGTGCCGTGCAGTAAAACTTATTTTACTATTTGTTATATCGCTTTTTTTCAGAAGCAATCTGGCCACAAATTATAGCTCAACGAAGTGGGATATAACGTGGAAATGTATAGCAGCCAAATACTCTCAACGCACGTTGATTTTAAATGTGGACGGAAAAACCGGAGGGCCCGGAGAAAAATCCACACTACCACGGGGAGACAACATGCAAACAGGCATCCGAGTCGAGATCGAAGCCACAACCTCCTGTATACCAGGCGAGGTAGTTAATATCTCGCCACCACAGAAAGATGTTAGATTAACTGCGACCTCCAAGATCTGCCCTAAACGTTATCCCACCACCGTTTGCCTTTACGTCTTCCCCTTAGTCGCTGGATAAATGTTATGAATCACATTATAAAACCCAGCAGTCAGGTGAAACTCCATCATTACACCTCTAGTTGTGGCTGGGTGGCACAGAAAAGGGGGACTATTGAACATCACAGCTGTCCAATGTGTTTTTGGGTTCTGCCACACGCCGTTTGGCATGATGTCCGATATTTTGTTCCACGTGCCTGGGAGCTTCTTCGGGAATAATTTGTCGGACTTCCCGTCGAAAACCAAGCGGCGCAACCCGAGAATACACCTCAGAGAGCCACGCAACCCAGCCGTGAAATCCTGTGCAGCAGCGCCCAACGTCAACTTACAGGGCACGGTGGAATGAGAAAGATGAGGATGACCCAAGTTCAATCGTCTGACAAATGTGATGCTAGCACGGCCAATCAACCCGCTCAAGACCAGAGAAGGAGTGCGAAGGACAGGCAGACGTGGGGACAGGGTTGACATCGGAGGCATCCGCAGTCGCCACGACCACTATGGTCGGAGCTAGGCAGCTGATGGCCACCTGCCTAGATCCATCTACGACAGTTGAGTTCTGATCCCGCTCATTCATTTCCACGTTGGGGATAACATTAGGGATTGTCGTTCTCCAGATGTCACAAGATGCGATATCCAAACTAGGCTTTCGCGACCAATATTATCCACAATAAAGGTTTTTTTGGGTTATATCCCTTAAATATGAATGTCGTTAAGCCCGCCACCACCCAACACAGCCGATTAATAAGAGTTGTCACGTAAACAAAACGTGCTAATTAGTTATTACTTCAGCACACCGGTGTGTTGGAGAGTAAATCCACGTGCTCTGGCCAGGTCCCAGCAAGCAATGCAGTTCACAGAAACTGGTCAGGCAGCCTCTGGTGACCGAGCAGCGCAGGTTTTTTTCAGCACCCGGCGCCGGTTGTGTTTTTTTCACCTCACATTTGGCTGGAACAGCGCCTCATGTCCATTTCAGGCAGTTTATATCAGGTGAGGCACACTGAGCCAAGAAGCTCTCTTTCAATGGTGACTCGAATTGAAGGAGGGTAAGCAACAGAAAATCGAACCCACGTTGGGTCTGTACGACTGTCCCACTGCAATTGGCAGAGATTCTCCCGGGTATTTGGAAGAGCGTCACCTTGACTGATATCCCACATTAACGTCTTGCATTCTTCACATGATCGTTATGCGGTACCCCGGGGGGGCACCACATAGTACAAAATGGCCGAGGCAATTACATATTTTGTTTCTGAGACACTATTTTTTCCAGGGGCGTACTTCACTCCACGACTGGGGTACCAATCAATCCGAAATCAGTGCTACTCCGCGATGTCGAAACGCAGCGAGAACGATTGCGCTGAAACCCTGAACGCTCGCGGTACGAACCGTAGTGGTGCATCGTGTACAGCTCATCGAGATGAGTCGATTGCCGCATCGCCGACCATCAACAGACTAAACGTGACTGCATCACAGACATTGTGCGAGAGCTGAGGTACTATGGTACCCCGGGATACCACCATAAGGATCACATGGCCCCCATGTTGGGATTTCCATTACGACCAAACCCACGCCATTTGTCACGAACAGAATTTGTTTTAACGGAGGAGCGCAGCACGTTCATTCCATGCTGCTCGATATTTCCACTCAAGCACTCGGTCATGTGCTGGGATTTTGACGATCTCCGAATTTCAGCAGCGTGTGTGATTCTTCTACTCGCACGCGGATGGAAAGCTACGAATCTGTTATGAAGAAGGGTGCTATGAAGAAGAGCCATGACCCAAAACTTCACCTATTACATATGTTTTCTTACAAGACCATGGAGTTATTAACGAACTCAATGGGTTTTTTTGTTGTTTGTGATTTTTCACCACTGGCAGCGCAGAATCACCAAATAATTATTTTTGGGTAAAAAGGATAGAATCATGATAATGGACTGTGAGCATCAGCATATTCGCTAATTTTTGTTGCTTGAATCTCTGACATTGCATTGCTGTGGTTAATAAGCACGTATTATTATTTTTGTTTAAGTATTCACACCTTGCAACGACTGTAATGCTGTGGTAGGGGTGGGACAAGCCGTCAGTGATTCAGCAGTGTGTGGGTGAGGTTCACTGATCGAGCTAGGATCATCGTGTGAGACACCGGGCCAAAATAAAGGGGTTATTTTGGTTCTAGATTTGAAGCTTTCGTGACTGCAAGGATTCATACTCTTAGTTCTTTTGGTAAAGTCACCTAGGTAAAAAATGAAATTAAAATTAATAAAAAATAAAATAAAAATCACAACGTTTCGGAGGCAACACAAGTCTCCGTCATCAGGTGGGATTATTTTGGGTTGGACCTCTTCATTGTTATCCACTGAGACACCGCGTGCGGTTTCTTCTTGTGCTACAGTTTACAGCTGCACTTAAAACGCTTTGAAAAAGGACTTGGAAAATCATCCTGTGCAGGACTCGGAGCTCTGCGAGGCTTTCCTCAAGAAACGAGCAGTAAACGCGGCCGTGTCGTGTAATTATTTACGAGGATCTTACCGGCACTCGATCTGGTTTATATTGAGGAAAGCACTACGGCTGTTTATCCACCGTGCAATGCACTCAGGGATTACAACTTCAGAGTGGCGTTTGAGTGTTGTAGCACAAGAACGCAACCCCCCCCCCCTCAATACCCCCAGGCTTATAAATAAGAATAATACGAGGAGAAAGCCCGGTGATACTATACTTTGTTACAAAACGGCTTGTTTAAAAACCATTAAAATCCCACGAAAAAATTTGATTTTTTTTTGGTGTGGGGGAAAATTGCGTTGCCATTTTGTACGAAGACAAATGGCGCGCATTCTCAAGCTTTCAATAAAATTGTGTTAATGCGACTTTGAGCGTTGTAAAAGACACACGATCGACAGGAGAGTCTCAACTCTCCTAAGATTAGAATCTTGAGGAGAACTCAAGTATTACATTTTCATTAAAAGACTGAAGCCTCATTTTTGTTTATACAGAACCATGACTTTTGTGACCTTTGGTGTCGTAATGCGTGCGAGGAGTCTGTCTCCTCGAGCGGCACGAACATCCTTGCATTGCATGTACATACGTTGAACTTCTTTTGCACCGTACATAGCTAGCCGTGCTGACCGAGCGTGCACGTGGCGTTTACCATCCGCGTCCCTCTTGCCGCGCAGGTGACGGTGGGCGCGTCCATCAAGGACACGCTGCTGGACCGCCTGACGCCCAACACGGAGTACCGCATCGCCCTGTACGCGCTGTACGCGGACCAGGGAAGCGAGCCCATTCCCCTGCAGGACACCACGTGTGAGCGCCCGCCTCACCGCCCTCGCCGTGCTCACCCTCCTCACCCCCCTAACTGCCCTCACCCGCCTCACCATTCTCACCGCCTTTATCACCCCTTGCCACCCTCGCCATGCCCACCATCCTCACTGTCCTCCCTCTTCTCCCCTCCTACACCACCCTCATCCTCCTCACCCCCCCTCACTGTCCTCACTCCGCTCACCCCTCTCGCTGCCCTTACTCTCCCCACCTCCCTCATCCTCCTCACCCCCCCTCACTCCTCTGACCCCTTCCCCGGCCTCAACCATCGTGTTTGTATCAGCTCGTGATCACGCACGTGTGTGTTCGTGCGTCTGTGCTTGGTTTGTGCTGCTCACTCGTATCTCTGCCTCCCGCGTGCCGGGACACCGTGTCGTGACGTGCGCATGGGGCGGGGGGCGATTGCGCGGGTTCAAACGTTACTCACACTTCACCCCATCACAGGCAACCTGCCAATGCACTAACAATGCTGAGTGGACAGAGGCAGGAGGCATTCAAGAAAGTTGTCCACTATTCAACTGCCAACGCCGGGAGATAGAACCGGGGACCTCTGGATTGCACTCTGCTACGAACCTGGTTAACTGGTTTTCATTCTTGGCTCAGTGGTGATTATCTGAACCGGCCTTGGGCCTCCCCTGAGTTGACTAAGCCCTCAATAGGAACTTGATGCGATGTGTAAACATCAGTATTTTGGAGACAAAGGTGGTTGGGCGTGGTTCTGGCCACACCGTTACCTCGCTAAAGGCACTCGTCCCAATCGTCTGTTAATGGCTACGAAATTAGGAATCGTTGCCTTTGCTTTTTCTTCTGCACCGCAGTGCCCCTGCGCGGCGTGCGGAATCTGAACTTTGCCGACGTGACCCACTCGAGCTTCCGCGTGTCGTGGGACCCGGCGGAGGGCAGGGTGCTCAAGTACCGCGTGCGCTACTCACACGACGACGGCTCCGAGCCCAGCGAGGTGAGGCCCTGCGGAGCGCCCACGGCGACAGTGACGACAACGGCGATGACGTTGAAAATGGCGATGATGACGTTGATGACAACGCAGATGACGACGACGATGACGGTGATGACATTGATGACAATGGAGATGACAATGACGGTGATGACGACAACGGCGCCACGGTTGTCCCGTGGCAGCCGACGATGAGGCCCAGCGGACCTCTCTCGTCTCCTTGCGATCGCTTCCTATAGAACTGAGTGTTTATCTCTTAACCTCGTCCTTTGTTCTGTCAATCCGCCACTTGGGAGGACAGCCTCTACTTCTTGCTGCTGTCGCGTGGCAGTGGTGCGTACGTGTTGCTCACCATTCTGTTTACACGTCAAAGTCAAAGAAGTCTCCATCTTCGTATCTTTTGCATCGGATTCTCCTGCTTCCCTACCTTTTGGAGTTGGCTGAATCTCAAGATGCTGTAAAAAAAAAACCGTGGAAATGTGGATACATTTAATTTACGTCGAAAAAGGAAGGTTTTGAGCCTGGACCTGAACAGGGCAAGGGAGTTTTAGGGCATGGAGGCAGTAGAGGAAAATGAGCCAATGCCTCATTAGTTTTTAAACTCACGTCATCTTCCGTGATTACATGTAATGCACGGGCAGTGGAATCACTCGATGTGAAAACATGGTCTCAATTCTACCATTTTACACAGCCCGAGGTAAACCAGAAGCTACCATTCATCATAAACAAAAACATTTTGGGTTAGATCGCTTAAATATAATGCGTCGTTAACCCGCCACCACCCGACACAGCCAATTAGTGAGGTTTGTTACTTGGTGTCAATTGAGAGAGGCTTCTAAATTTTAGGGCCACATGAAAGCCCCCTGGTGGACGAGTCACACGTGTTGCTGCCAGCCGTGAACCTGCCACCGCCGCCACGGCTGCTGTTTGTAGTCTGACCGCGTTTTGCCCACGGCGGCCTCGCGTGCCCCTCGCCCTGCAGGTGGAGGTGGAGGGCTCGGTGACGAGCCGCGAGCTCACGGGGCTCAACTCCCAGACGCGCTACCGCGTCACCGTCACAGCTGTGTACGCTGATGGGGAGTCGCCTCCCCTAGCCGGCTCCGAGACCACGCGTGGGTCACACCACCCACACGCACGCACCCACACGCACACACAGAGACCACGCGTGTGTCACACCACCCACACACGCACCCACACGCACCCACACGCACACACAGAGACCACGCGTGGGTCACACCACCCACACGCACACACACGCACCCACACGCACACACAGAGACCACGCGTGTGTCACACCACCCACACGCACACACACGCACACACTGAGACCACGCGTGGGTCACACCACCCACACACTCAGACCACACGTGGGTCACACCACCCACACACTGAGACCATGCGCGCGTCACACCACACACACGCGCACACTGAGACCACGTGTGGGTCACACCACCCACACGCACACACTGAGACCACGCGTGCATCACACCACCCACACACTGAGACCACGCGCGCGTCACACCACACACACGCGCACACTGAGACCACGTGTGGGTCACACCACCCACACGCACACACTGAGACCACGCGTGCATCACACCACCCACACACTGAGACCACGCGCGCATCACACCACACACACGCACACACTGAGACCACACGTGCGTCACACCACCCACACGCACACACTGAGACCAAGCGTGGGTCACACCACCCACACACTGAGACCACGCGCGCGTCACACCACACACACGCACACACTGAGACCAAGCGTGGGTCACACCACCCACACACAGAGACCACGCGTGCGTCACACCACCTACACACTGAGACCACGCGTGCGTCACACCACCCACACGCACACACTGAGACCACACGTGCGTCACACCACCCACACGCACACTGAGACCACGCGTGCGTCACACCACCCACACCCACACACTGAGACCACGCGTGCGTCACACCACCTACACACTGAGACCACGCGTGCCTTACACCACGCACACACTGAGACCACGCGTGCGTCACACCACCCACACACTGAAACCACACGTGCATCACACCACCTACACACTGAGACCACGCGTGCGTCACACCACCTACACACTGAGAGCATGCGTGCGTCACACCACCCACACGCACACACTGAGACCACGCGTGCGTTACATCACTCACACACAGAGACTACGCGTGCGTCACACCACCCACAATCGCACAGAGACCACGCGTGCGTCACACCACCTACACACTGAGACCACGCGTGCCTTACACCACGCACACACTGAGACCACGCGTGCGTCACACCACCCACACACTGAGACCACGCGTGCATCACACCACCTACACACTGAGACCACGCGTGCGTCACACCACCTACACACTGAGAGCACGCGTGCGTCACACCACCCACACGCACACACTGAGACCACGCGTGCGTCACACCACCCACACACAGAGACTACGCGTGCGTCACACCACCCACAATCGCACAGAGACCACGCATGCGTCACACCACCCACACACAGAGACCACGCGTGCATGGTAAATTTCTTTGTGACATTGGTGACGGTTTTAGAAGGTCTATCTAGCCACCTCTGGCGACGAGTTGACCCCGCTCTGTGTTGTGTGTCTGTGTGCGCTCGTGTGCTCGTGCGTGCTGATCCACGACCGCACGTTCCCCCGTTCATTCCCACGCGCGTATCGGCCCACAGTGAAGGTGCCGCCCCCGCGTCTGCTGCGCTTCTCGGAGGTGACGGAGACGACGTTCCGGGTGACCTGGGTGCACGGCGGGAAGGACGTCCAGCTCTACCGCCTGGCGTGGCGCCCCGTGGCGGGCGGCGCCATGGAAGAGGTATGCCGCCACCCCTATTAGCGCCGCCACCCGCCCATCCCGGTTTTCCCGTTGCGACCCCCTTCCCGGTTTTCCCACCATCGACCGAGGCAGCTCGTGCCGGCGGTGACGTGGCCCTGCAGTCGGACGCGCGTCGCCCGCTTCGTTGGAGTAGTTTCGCGGTTCGAAACCTGGCAGACTGCCGTGGTTATTCCCATGGGTGTTTTAACCGCACAAATACCTCCTCGTCTGCCTCGCAGCGGACGTTAACGCTTCCGTGATGTAATTCGAATGGAGTAGCCCATTGTGTGCCAGCGTCCCGGGCCAAGTTTGAAGAACGAAAAAAAACGCCCGCAAACTACTAAATTGGGATGACATACAGCAACATCGCTTGCTACTGGCAGACTACGCGAAAGATAGCATCTTTGTGACAGCCTCTGTGCTATATGAACGGATACAATACCAAATGTCTTCATCCACTCACTGTTGCTCCGTGCGTTGCGCTCGTTGTGCTGAGCAGGTGATCCTGAACGGAGACGAGAACTCGAAGGTGCTGGAGAACCTGCAGAGGGGCACGCTGTACGAGGTGTCCGTGACCGCCATCTACCCGGATGAGTCGGAGAGCAGCCCACTCACGGGCCGCGAGCAGACACGTAAGCCTGCTCGGGGACAGGGGTGAGGGCTCCGCAGGGCCCGGTTCAGTTGGGCGGTTCCCTACTGCAAGTTCAGGAGGCAACAAAATCCGCTTCAAGTTCCCCAGTGTCAGGTCGTAGCGCGTGCCCGTGGACTCGTAGAAGAGAGCGCAATGTGCTGCCAGTGGCTCCTTGCGCACACACGTAGAGCCACTGACGCAAATTGAGACTCGGAAGACTCGCATAGCGGCCGTGATTCATGCCTAGCGCCACTGGTGGGACTCACCGATCACCGACAAAGTGGTGGAAGCGGGCCGATCCCGCCGTTGGTATTCGGCGAGCGGGGGTTCCCGTGCCTGGCGGGGGAATGTTCCGCGCCACGCAACTACCACCCTGCAGCGCACCAGCTGTGCCTGCACAGATGGCGGGAAGGCGGGCGTGGTGGATGTTTGGGTGCCCTTCATGAATGCCTCCCGCCGCTAGGTGGTAGGAAATGGGTCAGATTTCCCACATACTTGAACCTAGCCGGATAGGTTGAGCTAGCGGCGTAAGGGCGGCGATCTCACCGGGATTACGTTTCTGCCACTGGTGGGAGAGGCAATGTGAATTTGCCTGCGATTCTGGTTGTGATAAAAAATCGAATGCACATCGCAAAGCACGTGGCGGAATCGCAATTTGTGCGGGGGCCGCGGATCGATCCAGGTTATCCAACGGTGGGTTCCTGTGGGAGGCATTTGCCTCCACTGACCCTGCACCCCCAGTGAGAATGAGCACCAGGCAGCACCACGCGTGAGCTCGACCTCTCCGTGTAGCATTGAAGTGAATCCAGACGCACAGATTGAAGATTCTAACAGAAGCATTGCAGCAATCCACCACACATCGTCCAACCTATTTTCTTGGCTTAGTATTTTTATCATTATTATTCAGGTAGTTTACCCAGGATAGCCTCACTGAGTTTCAAGACTCTTTTACAATGGGGGGGAGCGATGTTTCTACATGTAATCCCGATCGAGTAATGTTTCAGCATTGGGATATGTGGCCAGTCCTGGTTACATTGTTTTTTTACCTGTGGAAGAAAACCAGAGAACCCGGATGAATCCCATGCAGAACAGGGAGAGAAAATACAAACAAACTCGACAGAGGCCTCGAAGTTGCGATGCATCCATCCATCTGGGCACTAAAAAACTAAACGAAACTATTTTTATTTTACCACGTGAGGCCCACTGACCCATGTAGCTTTTTTTTAGAAGCGACCTGACCACAAATGATAGCTCAATGAAGCGGCTTATCACGTGGAAATTTATAGCAGCCAAATGCTCTAAACGCACGTTTCTAAATGTGGAGGGGAAAACCGGAGGACCCAGAGCAAGATCCACGCGAACACGGGGAGAGAGACACGCAAACTCCAAACATGAAGGCATCTGGGTCGGCATCAGACCCAGCATGTTTCACGGCGGTGCAACACAGTACGCACGGCCCCACGCCGCGCTGCGGGGCGCAGGCGGTGCCTTGTGTGTGGAAGGCCACTTTGTCCCTTGTCTCAGCGAGTCATCGACCCATGCCAGCGGGGGTCTGTGTCACACCAGGCATTGTCTGCGCACCTGCGCTTGGCCGCTCCGATTGTTGTTGGCAAGGTGACTGCAAAATACGAGCCCCCGTCTCGGCTCGCACTCGAAGGTCCGTCGGGTCACGTCCGTGCCGATGGATTGTCTCGGGCAGGCCGTGTTGTACAGTAACAAACGACCGAGTTTGAAAAGACTCGGTGAGAAATGAGCGAACAAAACGCGCGCACACACACACACGCGATGCGACCAGAATTGGCAAAACGACCCGGTGCTGAAAATCACCCACACATTCCTCAGTCGGGGATGATATGCAGCAACGTTGCCCCCTACTGTGAAGACTTGGCAGGACTCTTCTGGAAAAAAAAGTCTGGGACTCGGTGAGGGTTCTCCTGAGTAAACAAGCGTCATGGTCGTAGCAATAATACTAATAACACTGAAGAAGTCTTCTCAAAGCTGCTGCGTTTGCTCGAAAATTGGGGAAAACCTCTGACTGCTCGTCCTGTCAATCCGTAAGTCCTTATGTACAGGTTTGCTCTGGTGTCTAGACCAGGGAACCGAACTGAGAACTGGAGCTAATAATAGTTTTTTCAGGATGAAAATCGAAAGCCGAACCCAAATAATGTTTTTGGGGCTCCGAAATGAAAATCTCCCAAAGAAAATGCCGCGCAGTTAAATAATAATTTCGCCGCCAGCTTGTAAGGTTAACACAATGAAGCATGGCTGAGATCCCCGAGGCAATAAACTTTGCAGGGCACATTGACCGCGGCGCCTTCTGTCATTTGGTGAAACGTTTCGTAGACAGCCCCACGAGTGTGCCGCACGCAGTCGACACGGGGGCTCAAGGTGACAGGGAGACACTCAGACTCAGTGGCACACACACATACGTTAGTCGTGAAGACAAAGATCCCCCGTATAGTCTTAACAGGTTGTTGGGGCAATTGCTGTTCGCGAGCACCTATGAAGGCCGGCAAGGCACACGTGCGGGGTGGGTGGCCAGCACTATGCCTGGCCGCCTTTGTCTCCCCATTTGCGATGTTTACACACCGCACCAGGTACTCATTTGAGGCTGAGTCGACCTAGGGGAGGCCCAGGACAAGTTCAGATAATCGTCATCGGTGTTTACCGTGAGCAGGAATCGACCTCGGGTTGTCGGGTCCGTAGTGCAGCGTGCCAATGGCTGCACTACCGCTCTCTACACGCGCATTAGTCAAATAGATACACGCAGAAAGATGCATCTACTGCTAGATGTGCAAATCTCTAGTATTTAACAGAAGATGTTTATGCTCATGGGGTTAACTAGTGTTACTTCCAAGCTACATACATTCATATTGCGCTGAGAGTATATGTGAGTAATGCTGGGGAGTGTGTATTGCTTTTTATGTTAATGATGATTGTGTTTGTATAATTGTATGTGCTGTACTTTAGTGCTCGCAAGAATACAAACACGATAAGCAATTCACCATATTTTGCGAAGTTAAAACAAACTTGAACTGGTTCAAACCAGTTTTTGGACACGGTTAACCATAACCGAAACTTTAAACCCATTTTTAACCAAACCGGCTAGACTCGCTGGCGTAGATATGGGCACTCATAACACGTTTCACCCATTATTTCACAATCTCAAACTCTTATTTGGTGCAATGCCTTACGTGTATGTGACGTTGTGTGTAAAGTGCATTCTGCTATGATTTACCGAACTTGTCACTGTGTCTTTTCGCTTAATTTCTTCTGCTGGTTTCACCGAGGATATCGTTTGCACCATGCCCAAACAGGATGATACATTCTGTGCAAGCTTTACTCCCCTAACATTAACATGTAGGCCCATTATCCCCCGACGTGTAGCTTTTATGTGAACTATCCACCATTAAGTGTCTGCCTTGTGGTATGTGTGCCGAATGCAGTTGACGTCACAACAACCACGCCAACTACCACCACCACTGCCGGTGAGTCCTGACAGGCGCTGGGGCCGGGAGAGCCCCTCCCCTACTGCCCCCCCCTCCATCCACCACCCCCAACCAGAGGTCGCAAACGGGTTTTGATTCCTTACCCGTACCCGTACCCGGCCGCACCAGGGTCGCAAACGGGTACCCGTACCAGGCCGTACCCGTACCCTACCCGTACCCGGCCGGGTACGGGTATCGGGTACCTGATTGCGACCTCTGGGATGAAGCCATGTTGCAGGCGCGGGTGGGTTGATTCTAGGAATTTGAATTGTGAGAAGAGACAAGACGTTTGGAAATGAGTGACAAACAGTATCGGGTAGGGTACGGGTATCGGGAACCCGGTTGCGACCTCTGCCCCCAACCGCTCCTCCAGGGCCATCCCATCTGATGGGGCTTCTGGACGCTGAGCCGTCGGGTTTCCAATGCCCTAGACGTCTAACGGGCAGCGCTGACGACCAAATTAACAGTGACACTGACATTGAGAAGGCCGACGCCTTGTTGGTTGTGTATACTATGCTGTGATTGGCCCAGATGTCTGTGCGGAACTGCTAAATGAGGGCGCCGCGGTGGCGAGATGTTAACTCCCTCGCCTGGTACACAGGAGGGTCGTGGGTTCGATCCCGACTCTGACGCCTGTATATTTGGAGTTTGCGTGTTCTACCTGTGGTCGCGTGGATTTTTCTCCGGGTCCTCAGGTTTTTCTCTCCACATTTAGAAACATCATGCGTTTAAAAAAATTGGCTGCTCTAAATTTCCACATAAGCCACTTCGTTGGGCTATCAATTGTGGATTCTGAAAAATAGCGACGTAGCTCAGTGCGCCTTACCTGGTGAAATAAAATATTGTTTAGCTTAGTTTTTAGACTAGAATATCCACTTTTAATGAGTGACTGGCACACCTGGGTATATGGGCCCATATAATGAATCTCCCTCCAGTACGTTAGGGTATGTCACCGGAATGTGCCCCATCTCGTGACATTCTGGAAGATAAGCGGGGTAGAATCTGGATAGCGCTTGGATGAGTGAGCAGTGTGCACGATGGGTTGCTACAGGCTGCAACGGTGGGCAGCAGAAGGCGGTGCACCAACATATACCGCTGTGCAGGACTTCTAATGTATTTACTCCTCGCCTTAACAACCTGCACTGACCAGCATGGTGAAGTATGGTTAAATAACCCCCACAATTCGTGTGGCCTGGGGAGGCCCTCATGCAGCAGTGGATTGACAGAAGGGACTGAAGACAAATCGGTTGTTGAGCATTGGCGTTTTTGTTGTTGGTCGAGGAATATTTCTGCCATCTGCAGAATAAACGATGGTAGTGGTTGTCGTTGTTTGTGAAGGCACGAGTGTGTGTGTGAGGTGAGCGTGCTGAGTATGGTGAGCGTTGCACTTGTGGTACGCATGGCAAGTGTGTTGAGCGAGCATGGTGAGTGTGTCGCGTGTGGCGAGCATTGTGTGCGTGGTGAGCGCGGTGAGCGGAGCCCGCGTCTCGGCGTGCGTGCAGCTCCGCGCGGCGCCCCGCGGGGCCTGGTGACGAGCGACGAGACGTCGTCGAGCTTCCTCGTGCGCTGGGAGCACGCCGTGGGGGCCGTGCTGCAGTACCGCGTCGTCTACGAGCCCGTGGGGGGCACGCGGTCCCCCGAGGCGGTGAGACATGGGCCCGCCACGCACACCGCACTCGCCACACTCGCGATAGACGAAGGCAGAGATCCCCCGTATAGCCTGAGCAGACTGTTGGGGCAAGCGATGTTAGGGGGCAGCACCTATGGAGGTCGGCATGGTATATGTGGGGGTGGATGGCCAGCACCATGCCCGGCCCCTTTGTCTCCCCAGTGGCGATGTTTACACACCGCACCAGCCACTCATTTGAGGCTGACTTGACCTTGGGGAGGAAGCCAGGAAAGGTTCAGATAATCGTCACTGGTGTTAACCCTGAGTGGGAATCGCACACTCGCACACACGTACACGTTCATTCACATGCACACACGTGCGTTAGTCATACATTACCTTTGTTGCATACTGTTGGTAGGAAGAGGTATCTTTTATATTCTTTGGTTCTTTCGGTAAAGTCAAGTAGATAGAAAATAAAATAAAAATATATTAAAACTCATGACGTTTTAATCGCAACACAAGCGATCGTCATCAGGCAGAGAGAAAAAAAATCTATCTTTTATTTTATGTTGCTGGTTGTTGTTGGTTGAGGGTTTTTTGGTACCTGGTATACAGGAGGCCGTGGGTTCGATCTCGACCCGCACTCCTGTTGTATATTTGGAGTTTGCGTGTCTCCCCGTGATTGCGAGGATTTTTCTCTGGGTCCATTGCTCGTTCCACATTTAGAATCAGCATGTGTTTAGAGTATTTGGCTGTTCTATATTTCCACGTCAGAAGCCACCTCGTTGAGCTGTCATTTGTGGGCAGGTCGCTTCTGAAAAATATCTGTACAGCTCAGTGGGCCTTACCTGGTAAAGTAGAAAATAGTTTTAGATTTTCACGTTACTGGCTGCAGTTATGACCCTTTTCCGCGCCACGCAATAACCTCTCACCCTGCCACGCAACACCTGCGCTGTGATGCCCCCTGCAGGTGTTGGTGGGTGGACGCCGGAACAACGTGATCCTGCAGAACCTGCTGCCCGACACCCCGTACCGCGTCACCGTCACCTCTCTCTACCAGGCTGGCGAAGGAGGCAACCTGGACGGCACCGCACGCACGCGTTAGTACCGCACGGCACGGCGCACCGCAGGGCAACCAGTGCACAGGGCATCCAGTACGTAGGTCAATCGGTACACAGGGCAACCGCACTTATGACAAAACGTAGCACGCTGGACATGGGCACAGCACTGAGCACGGTCTCGCGCTGCTTGTACACAGTTAGACTTGCACGCGCTGCATTTGGACGCACAGAGTGCGCACACAAAACAGTCGGGAACACGGTGGTGACAGCAGGTGGGAGCTCGTGGAGGGACGGCGCGTGTCTCTCTCAAGAGAAACCCCGGGAAGTAACAGGAACGATATGTGAGCATACACACCAGGGATAACCTTTGTGAACAAATCAATAACAGTTGTTCAAATCGTAGCAGTGAAAACACCAATTTAAGCTTGGCTGATATCGACTTATAAACCGTAAACAATTTACATATCAAACATACTGAATACTAAATAATAAATCACGACGTTTCGATCGCAACACAAGCAACCGTCATCAGGTGATGCCAAAGAGTATGGGTTCCTGCAGTCACGAAAGCTTCAAATCAAGATTGCTACATACTGACTGTATAATATGAAACTTATCGGGGGGGAAATCCAATAGAAACGCGATGACATTTATTCTAACTGTCATAATTCAATTGTAATAAAGTACACTTGGAAGTAGCCACTAAACTAATTGACATTCGCAATTGGCCAAATGGAGAGTATCTTTGCTTGACGAAATAGTAATGAAGAAGGCTGGCGTGATGAATTAATTGCGGATGAAATATCATTCCATTTTAACTGAAGCACTCTGCTTCAAACGTTTTGGCCGAATGTTGTTTTTATATTGGAGACAGACATAACCACAGTACAAAGACAAAGATCCCCCATATAGCCTTTACCGACTGTTGGGGCAAGTGCTGTTAGTGAGCACCTATGAAGGCCGGCATGGCACACAAAGGGAGTGGGTGGCCAGCACCATGCCCGGCCGCCTTTGTCTCCCCAGTGGCGATGTTTTACACGCCACACCGGGTGTTCATTTGAGCCTGAGTTGACCGAGGGGAGACCCAGGATGGGTTCAGATAATCGTCGCTGGTGTCGGCCGTGAGCCGAAATCGAACTCGGGTCGCCGGCTTCGTAGTGCAGCGCGATAACCACGACACTACCGCTCCCCGTTGATACAAAGACATAACCACAGCGCTCGCTCACAAACTCGTACGCACACCCGCACACGTGCACACACAATGTTGCGCGTAGTTCTCGCCCACAGAGCAAGCGTTCCATGGACCGGGCCAAGAGAAATGTTTAAAATGTGGTGTAAAGAGGTGCCCTTCAGTGACATCCAGAGGCAATATTTATTTTTGGGTTATAGAAGTAATTCAAATAGTTTTCAGTTACGAAATATTCCATTGCTTTGCTCACAAGGCAAGTGGATTCTTGCCAGGTGAGACTCGATTTTCTGCTCCACGCGTCACATCATTGTCCATAAATTAATTACTAGCACAAACTGACTCCGCTATTAGCAGTTCACTTCCAACCTTGACATCTCCCCTCACGCGCTCAATACAAGCTCACCAATGGCACGAGTGCATTGCACACCAGAACGCACCGCAATCACATGACTTCTTGAGTGCCCGCGGCTCGGCGCTGGTGCCCCCGTGTGTAACAATCTGGGTTTCCATACCAACACGGAGCTTGCACCCGAGCCCAACGTTGGCTCGATGACTCTAATCGCTCACTGAGAAGTCCCACAATGGCGATACAATTCTGCGTCTTCAAGCTGCTAACTGCCATGATCGATTTCGTTAGGGCCCACTGTACAAAATGTTGATTAACACTGTTCAGTGTTATACCCACAAATTAATTGGGGTTTTTTTTTTCCTCTTGACAAACTGTAATTAAATGATCGCAGCATCACCTCTGTACACAAAAGTGGAAACTCATAAGCAAGCGCAGAGCACTCTAATCTTCACTACCTCGCTCAGCTCAAACTCAAAACTTAGCTCAGTGCTCTTTACATTCTGAGCTTTCAGCACCAACTTTGTCTGATCAATTGTCAGAAGATTACACAGCACCGCACGTGCACACCAACGCACTGCTCACTGCTCTTCCACGATGGTTTTGACGCCAGATTGATTGTGTTTCATAAATTGTGGACAATGCATGTATGGTGCCTTCTGTAGTGGGCAACACAGGCCTTGCAGGGCTCGGGTGAGTGATTGTGAACTGCATGATAATCACTGTATTGTTTTGACACCCAGTACGTCGTGGCCTATCCAACCCATCACATATCCACCCTGGCCACTTAACCGCCCACATTCCGTGCATGGGGGGCGACTGTCATTGTGTCTAGATGTTCACAAATTCGGACCGTTTCACAGAGCCACCTTTTTCCATAGTCTGCCCCACTGTAATGTAGCCCGATTTCTATCCCCAATAAAAGGTGTTCAATGGACTCGCTCCTTCCTACCCTATCCCCGATCATCTCACTACTCCCCTCCATACACTCTCTGCTCCAGCAGGCAATACCTTCTATTGAAACCCACGGCCATTCGTAGCTAAATGGGAGGTCGCTCATTCTCCCCGTCTAGGACTCCCTAGACCTCACCTTGACGGGAGACTCACTCGTGGTGCTGTCCCTGAGTCCCTCTGCTTATAGATGACTGCATAAATAGACAAGCCCACCGTGCCATGCGCAGGGTATATAAAGCTGCGTAGAATCCATAACCGTTTTGTCCGTCGAGGCTCGTCTCCGGGTGCCCGTGTGGCAAAGCAAAGCGCGTCGTTTGCAGCCGCGTTGAGCTGCTGCCGCCGTGCCGTCACGTCACCACTCACGCTGGTGCCTGTGTTTGTCTCGGGCAGTTCCTCTGGTGGCACCGCGCAACCTGCGCATCTCGGAGGAGTGGTACACGCGCTTCCGCGTGTCCTGGGAGCCCGTGCGCGGCCCGCTGCTCGGGTACCGCGTCACCTACTCGCCCGCAGGTGCGCAGCTCACCCACACACGCACTCAAATCGCGGCCGAGTACACCGGCGGTGGGGGATCCGTGCCAAGGGCCAAACAGGACTTTCAAATACCTTTGGCAGGCCACGCATGGAAAGTAACGTCGGATGTCACGGCGAACAACACGCGGTACGACCCGAGCACGGCTCGGAGAGATACGCAGCAGCATAACCGTGAAGGCGTACGCAGTGGCTCACGATATTTATTTTGAATCCTCATTTTGAACCCACCCACCCTTGTCCCCACGCACGCCTTGCCTTCCCACGGGCGTGTGGTGGAAGCAGCTGGCGGCCCCGCGCAGGACGTGTTTGTGGGGGACGTGACAAGCACGGTGCTGCAGGGCTTGAGCCCCGGCACCGAGTACGGCGTCAAAGTGCAGGCGCTCTACCCCGGGGGCAGCAGCGAGCCCCTGCAGGGGCCCGGACGCACGCGTGAGTAACCGCACTTCGCCACCACGACGCACGACACCCACCCACAGTCTCACCCACCAGCTCTCCATCAGGTCGCCCGCCAGCCCAGCCCACCCACTCACCCGTCAACCCACCGGCACACCCACCCACTAACCCACCCACTCACCCACCCACTAAAACACTCACACACCCACACACTCACCGACCTACCAGCCTAGATGCCCGTAGACCACCAACTGGCCAGCCCACCCAATCACCCACCAACCCACTCACCCACCCACCAGGTCAACCACCCACCAGCTTAACCTTCCACCCACTCATGCACTCATGAGCCCACGCATCCAACACCATTGCCAGCCACAACTAACATCAGCGGCAAATATCTAAACCAGTCCTGGGCCTACGCAAGGTCATCTTAATTCAATACAGTACCTGGTGCGACGCGTAAAATATCAACCCATACTGCACCCCAGTGGGCGTCTCGCTAACGGCGTGCTGGGACTCGTTTTGTCCGCGCAGTGCCGCTGATGGTGAGCGAGCTGCGCGCGTTCCGCGTGGAGGTGAACAGCCTGTGCATGCGCTGGAAGCCGGTGCGCGACGCCGCCTCGTACCGCCTCTCCTGGGAGCCGCTGACAGGTGTGGACACCCGGCCCTGCCGGAAAGGGACGATGGACTCGTGTGTGTATCACCGTGCGTAACGCGTGTGTATCACCGTGCGTAACGCGTGTGTATCACCGTGCGTAACGCGTGTGTATCACCGTGCGTAACGCGTGTGTATCACCGTGCGTAACGCGTGTGTGTCACCGTGCGTAACGCGTGTGTGTCACCGTGCGTAACGCGTGTGTATCACCGTGCGTAACGCGTGTGTATCACCGTGCGTAACGCGTGTGTATCACCGTGCGTAACGCGTGTGTATCACCGTGCGTAACGCGTGTGTATCACCGTGCGTAACGCGTGTGTATCACCGTGCGTAACGCGTGTGTATCACCGTGCGTAACGCGTGTGTATCACCGTGCGTAACGCGTGTGTATCACCGTGCGTAACGCGTGTGTATCACCGTGCGTAACGCGTGTGTATCACCGTGCGTAACGCGTGTGTATCACCGTGCGTAACGTGTGTGTATCACCGTGCGTAACGTGTGTGTATCACCATGCGTAACACGTGTGTATCACCGTGCGTAACATGTGTGTATCACCGTATCTAACGTGTGTGTAGCGCTATGTGTAATGTGTGTGTATCTCTGCTGTGTGTGTGTGAAATGTGTGTAACCCTGCTGTGTGTGTGTGTGTGTGTAATGTGTGTGTATCCCTGCTGTGTGTGTGTGTAATGTGTGTGTATCCCTGCTGTGTGTGTGTGTAATGTGTGTGTGTGTGTAATGTGTGTTTATCTCTGCTGTGTGTGTGTATATGTAATGTGTGTGTATCCCTGCTGTGTTTGTGTGTAATGTGTATGTATCCCTGCTGTGCGTGTGTGTGTGTAATGTGTGTGTATCTCTGCTGTGTGTGTGTATATGTAATGTGTGTGTATCCCTGCTGTGTTTGTGTGTAATGTGTATGTATCCCTGCTGTGTGTGTGTAATGTGTGTGTGTAATGTGTGTGTATCTCTGCTGTGTGTGTAATGCGTGTGTATCTCTGCTGTGTGTGTAATTTGTGTGTAACCCTGCTCTGTGTGTGTAATGTGTATGTATCCCTGCTGTGTGTGTGTGTGTAATGTGTGTGTGTAATGTGTGTGTATCTCTGCTGTGTGTGTAATGCGTGTGTATCTCTGCTGTGTGTGTGTGTAATGTGTGTGTATCCCTTCTCTGTGTGTGTAATGTGTGTGTATCTCTGCTGTGTGTGTGTGTGTAATGTGTGTGTATCTCTGCTGTGTGTGTAATGCGTGTGTATCTCTGCTGTGTGTGTGTGTAATGTGTGTGTAACCCTTCTCTGTGTGTGTAATGTGTGTGTATCTCTGCTGTGTGTGTGTGTGTGATGCGTGTGTAACCCTGTTGTGTGTGTGTAATGTGTGTGTGTAATGTGTGTGTATCTCTGCTGTGTGTGTAATGTGTGTGTATTTCTGCTGTGTGTGTGTAATGTGGGTGTATCCCTGCTGTGTGTGTGTGTGTAATGTGTGTGTATCCCTGCTGTGTGTGTGTAATGTGTGTGTATCTCTGCTGTGTGTGTGTAATGCGTGTGTAACCCCTGCTGTGTGTGTGTGTAATGTGTGTATCCTTGCTGTGTGTGTGTAATGTGTGTGTATCCCTGCTGTGTGTAATGTGTGTGTATCCCTGCTGTGTGTGTGTGTAATGCGTGTGTATCTGCTGTGTGTGTGTAATGTGTGTGTATCTCTGCTGTGTGTGTGTGTAATGTGTGTATCTCTGCTGTGTGTGTAATGTGTGTAACCCTGCTGTGTGTGTGTGTAATGTGTGTGTGTCTATGCTGTGTTTGTGTAATGTGTGTGTATCCCTGCTGTGTGTGTGTGTGTAATGTGTGTGTGTATCTGCTGTGTGTGTGTGTAATGTGTGTGTATCTATGCTATGTGTGTGTAATGTGTGTGTGTCTATGCTGTGTGTGTGTGTGTGTAATGTGTGTGTGTCTATGCTATGTGTGTGTGTCTATGCTATGTGTGTGTGTCTATGCTATGTGTGTGTAATGTGTGTGTATCCATGCTGTGTGTGTTTGTGTGTAATGTGTGTGTATCCATGCTGTGTGTGTGTGTGTAATGTGTGTGTATCCCTGCTGTGTGTGTGTGTAATGTGTGTGTATCTCTGCTGTGTGTGTGTGTAATGTGTGTGTATCCCTACTGTGTGTGTGTGTAATGTGTGTGTATCTATGCTGTGTGTGTGTAATGTGTGTGTATCCCTGCTGTGTGTGTGTGTAATGTGTGTGTATCCATGCTGTGTGTGTGTAATGCGTGTGTATCTCTGCTGTGTGTGTGTGTAATGTGTGTGTATCTATGCTGTGTTTGTGTAATGTGTGTGTATCCCTGCTGTGTGTGTGTGTAATGTGTGTGTATCCATGCTGTGTGTGTGTAATGTGTGTGTATCCCTGCTGTGTTTGTGTGTAATGTGTGCGTATCTATGCTGTGTGTGTGTAATGCGTGTGTATCTCTGCTGTGTGTGTGTGTAATGTGTGTGTATCCCTGCTGTGTTTGTGTGTAATGTGTGTGTATCTATGCTGTGTGTGTGTAATGTGTGTGTATCCCTGCTGTGTGTGTGTGTAATGTGTGTGTATCCCTGCTGTGTTTGTGTGTAATGCGTGTGTATTCTGCTGTGTGTGTGTGTAATGCGTGTGTATCTCTGCTGTGTGTGTGTGTGTAATGTGTGTGTATCCATGCTGTGTGTGTGTGTGTAATGTGTGTGTATCCATGCTGTGTGTGTGTGTAATGTGTGTGTATCTCTGCTGTGTGTGTGTGTAATGTGTGTGTATCTCTGCTGTGTGTGTGTGTAATGTGTGTGTATCTATGCTGTGTGTATGTGTGTAATGCGTGTGTGTCTATGCTATGTGTGTGTGTAATGTGTGTGTATCTATGCTATGTGTGTGTGTCTATGCTATGTGTGTGTGTCTATGCTATGTGTGTGTGTCTATGCTATGTGTGTGTGTCTATGCTATGTGTGTGTGTGTATGCTATGTGTGTGTGTCTATGCTATGTGTGTGTGTAATGTGTGTGTATCTCTGCTGTGTGTGTGTAATGCGTGTGTATCTATGCTGTGTGTGTGTGTAATGTGTGTGTATCCATGCTGTGTGTGTGTGTAATGTGTGTGTATCCATGCTGTGTGTGTGTGTAATGCGTGTGTGTCTATGCTATGTGTGTGTGTAATGTGTGTGTATCTATGCTATGTGTGTGTGTATGCTATGTGTGTGTGTCTATGCTATGTGTGTGTGTCTATGCTATGTGTGTGTGTCTATGCTATGTGTGTGTGTGTGTGTAATGTGTGTGTATCCATGCTGTGTGTGTGTGTGTAATGTGTGTGTATCCATGCTGTGTGTGTGTGTGTGTGTGTAATGTGTGTGTATCCATGCTGTGTGTGTGTGTAATGTGTGTGTATCCCTGCTGTGTGTGTGTGTGTGTAATGTGTGTGTATCTCTGCTGTGTGTGTGTGTAATGTGTGTGTATCTATGCTATGTGTGTGTGTATGCTATGTGTGTGTATCCATGCTGTGTGTGTGTGTAATGTGTGTGTATCCCTGCTGTGTGTGTGTGTGTAATGTGTGTGTATCTCTGCTGTGTGTGTGTGTAATGTGTGTGTATCTATGCTGTGTGTGTGTAATGTGTGTGTATCCATGCTGTGTGTGTGTGTAATGTGTGTGTATCCATGCTGTGTGTAATGTGTGTGTGTCTATGCTGTGTGTGTGTGTGTATGCTATGTGTGTGTGTCTATGCTATGTGTGTGTGTGTGTGTAATGTGTGTGTATCTATGCTGTGTGTGTGTGTGTGTTATGTGTGTGTGTCTATGCTATGTGTGTGTGTCTATGCTATGTGTGTGTGTCTATGCTATGTGTGTGTGTGTAATGTGTGTGTATCCATGCTGTGTGTGTGTGTGTAATGTGTGTGTATCCATGCTGTGTGTGTGTGTGTGTGTAATGTGTGTGTATCTATGCTGTGTGTGTGTAATGTGTGTGTATCCATGCTGTGTGTGTGTGTAATGTGTGTGTATCCATGCTGTGTGTGTGTGTAATGTGTGTGTGTAATGTGTGTGTATCCATGCTGTGTGTGTGTGTAATGTGTGTGTGTAATGTGTGTGTATCTCTGCTGTGTGTGTGTGTAATGTGTGTGTATCTATGCTGTGTGTGTGTAATGTGTGTGTATCCCTGCTGTGTGCGTGTGTAATGTGTATGTATCCATGCTGTGTGTGTGTGTAATGTGTGTGTATCCATGCTGTGTGTGTGTAATGTGTGTGTATCCATGCTGTGTGTGTGTGTGTAATGTGTGTGTATCTCTGCTGTGTGTGTGTGTAATGTGTGTGTATCTATGCTGTGTGTGTGTGTAATGTGTGTGTATCCATGCTGTGTGCGTGTGTGTGTAATGTGTGTGTATCTATGCTGTGTGTGTGTGTAATGTGTGTGTATCCCCACTGTTGTTGATGCTGACTAGGAGGTCCCAAGCGTGAAGCGGTCTTCCCGGGCAGCCAGATCGAGCACTGCATCCCGGAGCTGCAGGCCGACTCCCCCTACCGCGTCAGCATCACCGCGCTCGTGGGACATGCCGAGGGGCCCGCCACCAGCGCCACAGAGCGCACCAGTACGGCACAGCCACACCCGGCACTGATGCCGCACAGCGGAGTCACACGCGCAGCACGCCAGAGTGACACGTAGCACAGCGGAGTCGCATGTGCAGCCCAGTTATACCCGGCACAGAGAGCGGACTTTAGGGGTGTAACGATCCACTGATTTATCGATTGACACGGATTCTCCGAGCTCACGATATGCGCGTGTAAGAACCGGTATTTTGGGGTTGTTATATACGTTGTGAAGAGCTCATAACACCCCTCCAGCTCCTCAATAATGCTGTGTTCACCAAAGTGTTCAGGAGCTATTGACTCGTGAATCGTGATGAAGGATTGGACCACGTGGGGGGAAGTGTTGTTCCACTCCAATCTGAAACACACAGCACGGGACACGCGCACGAGGTGCCAGGCACAGGTCTATGGCGACAGCTTCGGGTGATCCCCAGCATCGGAACGAGCAACGTGATCGTTGTCAATCCCGCTAACGAACCTTCGGGATTGAATCTCTACTTCCGCAACACCGGTCCACGTAAAATCTATTTCCCACATCTTAAGGACACTGAGCGGACGCATGACTAGGGATTCGAATTAACCTTGGTCGCATGTGACTGCATTAACACCGACAAGACTATTGTGACCACACAGTGAACGCCATTGTGAACTCGATGTTAATCTGTGGGTCTGTGTGAGTCTTTGCGTCTCTATGTGAGACCACACTGCAGTGAACCACTGTAAACTCTGAAACAATCAACGGAGGCATTGAAGCCGAATCTCCACCGCACATCAACTGAAGCCATTTCCTGGCTGACTGACCTGGACATAGACTCACGGTCTGCTAATGATCGAGAAAGTGCACGAGAGAGGGTTCGGGGATGCGCAGCGTTCACGCGTCCCGTCACAACCCCACGTGGTGCGGTCGGCTCGTGCCCTCCACGCTGCATTAGCGCAATGTCGTTGAAGTGCTGTCACGCAAGTCCCGGGCCCCGTGTGCAAACCGCTCTCGCACGTGAAAGCTCTGCGGTGTAATCCCCACCGGAGACGGGTCAGGGGTAGTGATGACAGACGGAACGTACTTGGCAAACACGAATGACAAACATCATTTGTAATGTAGCTGAAGTCTTAATATTTACTGTACTTATGAAATACATGTAAAGGTTTTAGAAGCGGTACTATTTTATGATTTTAAGCAATCTTTGCTGTGATGTATTTGCACAAAAAAACACATCTGCCCATATATATATTTAAATGCGCTGAGTTTCTAATAGGTATAATTGCGTATTATGTAAGCACCTGCTCGGATGCTGCCGTAATGTAATGGCTATGTGTGATCCGGAGATCACCGGTTCGACCTCCCGGCGCAACAGCTGAAACAAATCCCCCCACCTCTGTCCACGCAGCAGCATCAATGGACTCACCACAGATAGCCAATCGGCAGGCCGCATGTGGTGGGGTAAAGTGTGGGTATTCCCACCTCTTCCAAGACGTGTTCGCCAGCGTGAAAGAGTAGGCCAATTACAGGGCTGCACCTTGACATTTTATAGACCCCCCAAACATCTTCGGGAACTGTCTGGGGGCATGTCCATCAATGCTCGGGCAGTTAACTTTCCTTGCGTCCGTCGTTCACAAACATCACGGTAATGCGTGATGACACCCGACACTCGCGGGACGCCGGCGGCCGGTCGCTGCGTGACAGCCAGGGCTCGCCCGGGCGGTCGTTCGTCCGCCCTCACCGTGTACACCTGCGCGCGCGCGTGGCTTTTGCAGTGCCCGTCCCAACCACGACTCCGACCACGACGACCACCACGCCGCCGCCCACGATCCCTCCTGCCCGCGACGGTGCGTGCCCACGCCCGCACGGCTGCCCGCTGCCTCTTCACCGCCCCTCCCCTTGAGGTTGAACAAGGGAGGCGCGTTATGACCACTCCCGCCACGACGACGGCGGTTGGAGTTGTACCGCGGGTGGTTTGCTCCATGTGCCGGGAGCTTCTTTAGGAAGTGAATGCAGTGGATTCTTGTGAACCCACCTGCCCCCATCCTACAAAGATGCCAGTCCCAACCACGGGCACCATGGTGGTGAGATGTTAACTTACCTCGCCTGGTATACAGGAGGTCGTGGGTTTAATCTCGACCCTGACGCCTGCTGTATATTTGGAGTTTCCATGGTCGCGTGGATTTTTCTTCAGGTCCTCTGGTTTTATCCCTCCAAATTTCTAATAATGCGTTTAGTTTATTACTTGGCTGCTATACATTTTCACGTGATGAGAAGCCACTTCAGTGGCCAGGTCGCATCTGAAAAAGAGCTACATACTGTAGCTCAGTGAGCCTTCCCTTGTAAAATAAATAAAAAATGTAATATAGCTATACAGCAAGTAGGTTGGCAATCTCGCTGTGTGGCTGGTACAAAGTGTTTTAACCCCCCACTCCTTCCTAAAGGGATGCTTTCAACCGGTAACGGCGAGCACGTGGGCCCAGCAGTTAGTCTATCAGCAGGTCATATGTGGTGGGGTAAAGTGTGGGTACTTCCACTTCTTTCAAGACGTTTGGCCAGCGTGGAAGAGTAGGCCAATATCACATCTTTAAAGGGGGACCTCTAAGTGGAGACCCCCCGCTAGCAGCAGCGTTAGCGAGCGATCGCAGTGCTGTACCGTGACCGTATGTCGCCTTCTACTTGGCTGTTGCCACCCACGGCACGAGTGGGCCAGCTGGGGGTGTGTGATGTGAATGGGCACCGTGCACCACTGCTGCTGCTGCTGCTGCGTGCGCGCAGTGTGCAAGGCTGCGAAGGCAGACATCGTGTTCCTGGTGGACGGCTCCTGGAGCATCGGCGATGACAACTTCCACAAGGTGATCCGCTTCCTGTACGGCACGGCGGGCGCACTGGACAAGATCGGACCTGACGGGGCACAGGTGGGCGTACGCACACGGACTAACTACCTGGAGACGAACACCATGCATCCACATGTAGCCCTGAACAGACCAGTGGGGCTCATGTCATGGCCCGGTACGGCACGCAATGGGGTGGTGTGGACAGCGTCACGCCCAGTGCTGTTGTTTACTTACCACACCAGATATTAATTTTAAGTCGACCTTTTGGAGGCGCAGGACCAGTTTAAAAGCATCTCCACTTGATGTTAGCTGTAGCCATGAAGGCAATATGGCGATACTGGTCTTAATTAACATCGAGCGATTATTCTAACATGTATCTATCAATTAATAATAACGCCTTCCCAAACAGACTCTGTATGCATGTATGTTCAACTTTTTTCGCACCATATGTAGCCAACCGTGATCATTGGAGGTATATTTCATCCTCGTAGAAATAAAAACAAATCTTCCGTGTAGCTCTAATGTGCTTTTTCTGAAACGAAGAAGTCCCAGCACGTGGAGCAAGACGTCGGACACCGTGCGGAAGAGCGCTCGGCATAACGCCGCAACAGTGCAACGACACGGCGGAGAGCCGCGCAGCGCAATTGCGAAAGCCCCGCCCGGTAGCGGCGGCGCTCCGCACGCCCTGCTTGACGTCCGCCCGCCCGCCTTGCCCTCTGACCCTACTGTCCGCCACCCCGTACCACGTGCCAGGTGGCCATCGCCCAGTTCAGCGACGACGCGCGCACCGAGTTCCTGCTGAACTCGCACCGTGACAAGGAGAGTCTGCTGCACACCATCGAGAACATGCGCTACAAGGGCGGCAACACCAAGACCGGTGTGGTTCTACCCCCTCGCCCCGCCCCCGCCCCCCGCCCCCTCCCCCTCGCTACCTCCACGGCTGCCTACCGTTCGACACCGCCACCACAGCAGGGCGGGGATCCCAAAGGGACAGCTTGCCCCGGGCCCCACACAAAAGAGGGCCCCACAACTCGTGCCGGATTAAGCTAGTGCGGGGCCTGTAGCATATGTGATAAAGGGGCCCTAAATATAAAAAAACATAACTATTAAAACACGAATGTTTGACTTGCATAGTAAAGTAATTGTATTTTTTTATTTGCTATACAGCCAAGTAATACGACAAATCGCTAACCTTAAACACCCAGTCGTTCATAAAAGTTGAAGGCAGTATAGTAGTATAGTATTCGAGCAAGTGCAGAATCACTGAACCGGAATAGATAGCTTGACAGCATTAAGTGCGGGGCCCTTGAAAGTGCGGGGCCCGTAGCATATGCTACTTTTACTAGTCCGGCACTGCCCACAACGGCCCTGTTGTTACTTTCTCACGAATGCATGAGGGGGCCCCACGTCATGTTCTGCCATGGGCCTCCGGGCAGCCTCTGGGTGACCCTGCTCAATGTTCTAGCCATCAAACCACAGGCAAACCTCTCCAAGATGGACTCAAAGGGGGGCAGAGCCCTTCCCGTTGAGGGAGACGTCCGGCAAACGGAAAATACTAAATGCGTAATTACTCTGTTTTATAACATTTACATGATCCCTGTCGTGCCGACTCACCACGCCGCCTCTCTGTTTCCGCCGCGACAGGCCGCGCGCTGACGCACGTCCGGGACCACCTGTTTGTGGAGACGGGCGGCATGCGGCGCAACGTGCCCAAGGTGCTCGTGGTGCTCACGGATGGCCGCTCCCAGGACGAGACGCCGATCATCGCTCGCGAAATACAGCTCAGTGGTGGGCAGCGCGACGCGCCACGGCGGGGATTTTGAGTTGTACCACGTGTGGTTCGCTGATTGCAATACTCTGGAGGCGCAGTGCATTTTTGTGAACCCCCCTGCCCCCCCCCCCCCCATCCGAGAGAGATGCTACGAAGCCAATAGATAGCTGTACAGCAAGTAGGTTGCTGATCTAGCGCAGTGGCGCGATGACGGCCACGCGGCCTCAGGGGAGTCGCGCGGCACGGCCTGGCGCGGGGCTGTGAAAGCGAGGCCTATGCGGGCACAGCGTGGAATAGGGAAGGGCCGGGCATCGTGAGTTCCTCTAACAGTGCACGGTGGTATGGCGCACGATGGCACCAATGTAGCGTGACGCAACAAGGTATTGGGCACCGGTGGCGCGAGGAATGAGCCAACAAGGGAAAAGCTTAGGCCCCCATAGAGTTCATGTATGAAGAGGGATGCACCAAATATCCGCGATATTCCAGATCCTTATGAACATAAAAACCAATAAACGAAAAAAAATAACCCGTAAAAACAAAGTTTTTCACTATAAATCCTTTATATGCGTGGTGGCTAGAGTCCTCTCGTCCTCTGGCTTGAGATGGCTACCACCTATGGGTCAGATGATTGTGTGCCAGCATTAACCAATTGCAAAATGTCAGCTCGATTGGATCACGGGAAGTGGGTTAAAAAACGACCGAAAAATTTGCATGGTCCTAAGCAAGCAAGCAAGCGAACTTAATATAAAGGATTTAAAAACACAATTAATCTCTCTCATCTCTATCTTGTCTGCAGCTCTCTTCTCTCACCTCACTGATATTGAATATCTTTTTGTCCACATTTCTCTCACCTCACTACATATCTGGCTCTCGTTCACATCTCTTCTGTCCATCTCACTGGGAGTTTATAATTGCCCACGGCCCCCAGGGAGCCAGCGCCCGCCGCGGCGGTCAGAGACGGCGACAGCAGCAGTCATTGCGCGCTTGAGCTGGCTGCACGCCTCTCCCTCCCCCTCGATCCCAGGCGTCAGCATCTTCGGGATCGGCATCGCGGACGCCGACTACACGGAGCTGGTGTCCATCGCGAGCCAGCCCACAGAGCGGCACCTCTTCTTCGTGGACGACTTCAACGCCTTCCAGAAGATCGAAGATGAACTCATCGCCTTCATCTGCGAGACGGCCTCGGCCAGTACGACGCCACTCCTAGCAACATGCCTAGCACACGCCTAGGACACGCATAGCGCACACTTAGCACATGCATAGCACACACCTAGTACACAAGCCTCAGTCCTCACTACATGGCTGCACAAGCATAACACACAAGCCACACAGCCCTCACTATATGGTCAAACAACAATAATCCCCCGCATAGCCTCATAGACTTTTGGCATAAGTGCTGTCAGCGAGTAGCACCTATGAAAGCCGGCACGGCACACCGGGAGTGGGTGGCCAGCACCACGCCCGGTCGCCCTTGTCTCCCGAGTGGCGATGTTTACACACCGTACCAGGTACTCATTTGAGGCCGAGTCGACCTAGTGGTGGCCCAGAACCAGATCAGATAATAATTATCGGTGTGGCACACAAACGCGCTTCTGCAGCCGTCTGGAACGCTCTTCCGTCCGATATTAGGAAGCCACTCGATCTATGCACGTTTAAATCATCTAGATTGAAAATTAATTTCTTTAAAACAGTTTTTGCGTTTAGTTGTTCTTCCCCTGCACCTCTGATTAGCACGGTTGGCTACATATGGTGCAAAAGAAGTTCAACAAACTACATACGTATAGACTCATACACATGCACCCACACTCCTACACACGCGCTCCCTTATGCCTCGTGTGCTCACGTGTGCTCTGTTTGTGTTCCCCGCAGCCTGCCCGCTCGCGTTCCTCAACGGGCACACGGTGTCAGGTGAGTGGTGCTCGCAGCGCGTTCAGACCTGACCCGACGCAGAAGTCCCCCTGTCGTCTCAGCCGTGAAGGCTGTCGAGGCAACTCCTGTTGGCAAGAACCTTTGAAGACCAACAGGACACACAAGGGGATAGCGCGCAGGGTGTAGCGGTGCGGTTATATTGGGTGCGGTGCGCAGAGTGTAACAGTGCAGTTGTATCGGCTGTGCGGTGTGCAGGGTTTAACATGATGGAGTCATTTGGGCTTTTGGACAAAACCTACTCCATGCTGAGTGGCGTCGCCATGGTGCCAGGGACCTTTAACAGCTTTGGCTCCTTCAAGATTCAACCGGAAGCTCAGCTCCGACAGCTCACCAGGTAATAGCAAACGAGCCAGGCTGTTCTTTGCGAGTGAAACATGTTTGTATAATAGGAGAATACTGGGCCTGTAATTCATGTTTTGCTGTCATCGTTTTCTGTAATTTCCCTTTTACTTTGCCCCCAAGTTTCAGTTATTTGTCCAGAATGTGATCTTTCATTATTATGGTCGTGACAACTGTTTCAGAATTTGTCTTTGTCTTAGGTATTAGAATCTGCTGCATAAAGGGACTCGAAATTAACCCACCCACTGAACGTGGTTTTATGTTTTTTTTGCCTCGGTTTTTCTCTTTATTTTGCTTTGTCCTCGCTTTGCCAATGCTGAAGTGTAACCAGTATCGTTTCGACCCATGATCGCTCCCTGTCTCACGTTCGCGTCTCGTTTTCACGAATCGTGAGTACCGTTCGTGAGAAAGTTACCACGTTTTTACGTTTTAGGTTGCATGCCTCCTCAGTATAATGATCACGTTTTGGTTCATAAACGGAGGATTTGCGTACATCCCTAAGGATCATACATGAGCAATGCGGCTCAGCGGGAGAGCGAGTGGCTTGCCAACAGGTTTCAACTTAAAATTCTGGTTGGGGTTTGACTCGGCCTATCGTATCCCTCCGGAGTTAATAAAACAAGTACCACTTTGTTGGGAAGTCACCAGTGGTCGTTCTGTGACTCTGCGGGTGAGACTGCTATGTCAAACCGGGCCACGGTTTTCTTGGCTTGAAAGAATTCTGCTGAGGTGATGCACTCCCAGAAGGCCATTCTGCAGATACAGTACTCATCGTATACACGTGCAGTACAGGTGCCCTTTAACTGCACTCTGCTTACGACGAGGCTGCTGTGAAAGAATACACACACCATCTTGATCACTCGCAGTAAGTAAAAGTATTTTTACATTGTACTTTTTTAATCTACATAATATTTACTGTACATTTGTCATTAACATTATCTTTATGTGCAGTACTGTACACTACATTCTTTTTTCACTCTATACTATACAAGTAATATTTAACACTACACAAAATGTTAACCATATTTTACGTAAAAATATACTTCCTGTTTCATGTTTGGGTTTATATAAGGTGACATTAAACAAGAGTAGGTGTCATATTATGAACAGTGAACCGAATCCTATATTTCCTTTTCGCCTTTTGAGTTTGCGGTTCGCGGATTTGCCGATTGCGGTGATTTTCACACCGCGTAACTCCCCCCCCCCCCCCCCCCCGCGATGGACAAGGGAAGGAGACGTCGTCTGATTATTTTGTCCTCCAGATAAGTCTCGCCTCCGCCATGAGAATGGGGAATTTCCTACACTGGCTCAACGCTGTTAGCGGGAGATGAACACCGCCTCCGTCGCTCACTCAAGCAGAAAATCACGTTGCCTTTTGACCCCAACCTTACAGTAGTAATAAAAGACTTCGTCAGGCACTGCTGGTCTCTGTTGCTCTTTTATTTAGTTTCCTCCTCGCACCCCGCTGGTCCTGACAGCAGACCAGCGTCTCCTCGCGTGCGCCCTGGGCGCTCCTCCGTCAGTCTTTATTTAGCTCCTTGCTCGCACCCCGCTGGTCCCGACAGCGGGACCAGCTGCTTCTCGCGCGCGCCCCGCACGCGCTCCTCCCTTCTCGCGCACGCCCCACACGCGCTCTCCCGTCAGTCGCTCCGCTCCTCCCCAACGTGGTCCCGCTTCTTCACTCCAACAACTGACCCGGATCCCTTCCGGGCTCCCCCCTATATCCTCTTTACCACGTGACCCTGACTCCTCCCCTTCCGGATCGTCAGATCCAGCCTTCCCATACTACTCTGCTGGCTCCACCTCCATTCACCTCGCTTCCAATTGGACCCGATGTGAACGGCGGCCCCTCCCACACGCCCCCCATACTGGGCTCCGCCCCCCAATACCCCGGGCCGTGTGATTGGGCCAGAGCCCGGCAGCGAACCCCGTTTACACTCGCATTACACAGGCACTGGTGCTTGTACACTTGAGAAACGTCTGGCACACCTAGAATGTAGTTCTTCTTTCTCGAAACACTCTCGCCCCTTTTGCTTGAGTACACCCTGCAATGGGGCTGTTGGAACAGCTTGCTGATGGATGTCTTTGTGAGCCGCTCCGCGATGCACGTGTACATAAGTTACCCCCTCTTGGCACGAACCGCCTGGAGCCTGCGCTGCCAATGCTGGCCAAAGCCGCTTGTAATGGAGCTTCTGGGCTGGCGGGGCATTCAGCTTCCCTTGTTGGTGTTGGCATCCTACCTCTGGTGTGGGGTTGCTTCGTCTACGCTTTGCGAAATATTTCCTGAATGTCAGACTAATTGTATTTTGAAGCCTAGGGACCGAATACTCTTCGAGATACCCAACATCAATAATGCATTGTTTTGCACGGCGGTATGCAGTGACGGCAAGCACCGAAGCTCTGGAATGCCTTCAATGAAAATAATTCGCAGATGGGGTCTCTTGAGACGCGCGAAGATTCAGTTATTCAAGGAATCTTTTTCATCGTCAGTTCATCAGGTAGAATACACTGACGGTGAATCACTCTTTTATTTGCTAATCGGAGAAAATTGCAACCTGAAAGGTGAATGCAGTACAACGCCACGTATCCGACTGCCCGGTGGAACATCTCGAGAAAATGACAGTTGCACCCTGCGCAAATCCTGCCTTGGGTGTGGCCGATAAAGTGCTCAGGGTGGTTTAGTGATGGTCGGACACGCAACGTTGTCCTGCACCCCGTCTTGATGAGAGTGGACGGTGCCGGATTGTGATTTAAAAGGGTTTTTTTCTTTCCTTATAACTCATTGGTAGCCAATAATCAAATACATCGATTACCAGATCTCAGAGAAGCAGGTGGCTTGTAATCAAGCAACCATCACTTATTATACTAACCAAGATTAAAACAACTGGGTAATCATTATCAGCCATAATAAATCCACTGCTGGATGGAAGACTGTCCAAGCTGTTCTGAGATCCAATAATCCACTTACCGCCTGCACATTTTAGGTGAAGCCGATTTCATTGCTCCATCTCCTTACTGGACATCCTCTTGGACATGTCCACTATACATTAGTAGACCACAGTTATCTGATTGCCAGGTCGCTTGCAAGATGTCTGGTCAGTGTGGAAGAGAAGGCCAAAATGCCATCAAGAAGGACCCTCTCGAGCTCCCTGGAGCACCTTTGCAGGACTCTACCCATCTGTATTTCCCTGTTGCGATCCCTGTGTATCTTGTCTGTATCTTTTATTTGATGATTTTCTCAGAACCAGATCGCATCACTCGTCTGTACCTGGCATACAACTTGAAGCCGTTTGTCCGACGAGCCAAATATCAGAGTGATTTCCTCATCAAATGAGCATTGAGGCAGTGCCCACCTCCTGTGGTGCAAATACCACATTCCTATGGAAGGGACAAGCTATGAATAAAACTACTAAACTATGTTTTATTTTACCAAGTAAGGTCCACTGAGCTATATCGCTCTTTTTTAGAAGCGACCTTGCCACAAATGATAGCTCAATGAAGTGGCGTATCCCTAAACACGTGTTGACTCTAAATGTGGAGGGAAAAACCAGAGGACCTGGAGAAAAATCCACGCGACCACGGGGAGAACATGCAAAAATTTACAGCAGGCGTCAGGGTCGGGATTGAACCCATGACCTCCTGTATACCAGGTGGGGTAGTTAAGATCTTGCCACCGTGGCGAGATATTCATAGGACAATGTTTACTTCCCCACAAAGCAATACTGATTTCATCAACCCCAGAGGGATGATGGGCTCAGTCAATCCCCAATCGGGATTTGAACTCACAATCTATCAACTGTGAGCCACTCACTCTCCCGCTGAGCCACGGGGCCTGACGTGCAATAAGAACGCGCAAATACCAAATCTACCTTGCTTACCAGGGTCCGCTCAGGCACTGCCTTACTGTCGCTGGCTAGTGGTGCTGCTTGCTACTTGTCAGTGGGCCAATTGGCCCTGCCCAGTTCAGTATCCACCACGCTCTCTTCCCCTCCCCACCCCCCGACATTTTGTCTCTGCTCGCCCTTTAATCCCTTCTAGCTGCTCTTCACTAGGCAGCGCTCCACTCCCCCTATCCCACACCCCCCCCCCCCCCATCTCTGTCTCTCCTCCCTGACAATTGTGGCATCATTGCGCTTTCATTGGTGGGTGTGGAGGAATAATTAAACGCCATCTTGGACTTTGGCCAGGCAGATAATGCACACAGATAAACCAACTTGCTGATATGATGATGTGTTTAGAAATATTCCATATTCTCAATAAGTGAGATGGTACACATTCAAATAGTCTCCCAGCCACCAGAAAATATGCTGCCCCTCAACCAGCTACTCAGCCAGTGATGAACCAACTTTGTTAGACAAGCAGCCAGTATATGATGAGTTTGTACATCTTTTTGTAGTTTTCCACATTTATATTTCAATTGTGCTATATACTTCAGGTTATTCTCTCACGAAGCAGAGCAATCTTTCATGCTATTGAATGGCCCACGGCAGTGGATATCACAGAGCTACCTCTGAGGCCCCTTCAAGTGACCTCTGATCCACATATTGGGCAGCACTTCCCCACCCTCTGCACACGAGAGTAATGTTTGCCATATAACAGACCGATATTTTAATTATCAGAGCTGGAATTTATCCAAATTAAGTGCAGAACTACAATTAATACGGTGTTTGTTGTGCAGTCATTAGTGACCGGGCTGAGACCATTACCTCACTCCACTCGAGAACGCGGATCAATCACAGGCGGCTGCCTGGATTCAAACCTAGGTCCTCAGCGGTGCCGGTTCGATGCTCTGACCTCTTCAGCCTACTCGCCCACATCACACCACACATCCTAACCACAATGCCGCATGACCCTATGGCATTGGCATCACCAGGAGCGATGCTTCATGAGGTGTCACTTTCACCTCGGAAAAAAACCTCACGAATAACAATTGCTGCGAGCGGCCAGTGCGTCGATGCCCGCCGTGCCGCCTTGCCCACCCTGCCCATTGTGCCCACCGTGCCCACCGTGCCCACCGTGCCCCACCGTGCGTGCTGTTCCCATCGTACCCACCGTGCCCACCCGGCCCACCGTGCCCCACCGTGCGTGCTGTTCCCATCATACCCACCGTGCCCACCCTGCCCACCCTGCCCACCATGCCCTACTTGCCCGCCCTGTCTGCCACGCCGCCTCTTGCCCCAGGGCCTCCAGTTCGCATCAGTCGGCGGGGTCGCCATCACTGCTAAACCCATTAACACTTGAGAGCGGGCAAAGCGACAGGTGTGGCTTGTAAAGGTAGGCGACATGCGGCCGATCACTTAATTAGGCACACAATCTAAAACACAAACAGGGATTCGCGTTTAAAGCAGACCTGGCCCTGCCTAGAGTAAGCAACTGTGAAACCCATCACGGCTGTGTCGAACCACGCAGTTAAGGGTTCGACTCTCATCTTAGCCAAAGACCTCTGTGGCTTGATTCTGGCGGGGAAAAAAATCTACTTTTCTGCGAAAACGGATCTGATTCTCTCCAATAAAATATTTTTTAGAGGCATTTGGAGTGGAGTGGTGTTGGCGCAGTGGTTATGGCGCTGTAGTATGAAGTCGGCGACTTGAATTTGATTCCCGGCCAAGGCTCACAGTGGCGAATGATACCTAAACCAGTCCTGGACCTTTCCCTTCAACGAACCGCATTTACCGTCGTGCTGGAGTATGGACAAACAATCTCAATGGCTGATCAACGTGGGGAAGCCTTTACTCAGCAGTGGTATGACAAAAGATCTGTAAATTATTAATTATATCAGGCCTTCACAATACAGTACATGAAATTGAGGCTTTATATTTTTGACATTGAAGCCATGCCTACATTGTTAATCGTCTAATTGCCATACCTGCGCATCCCTTGCACAATCAACAACCCCCATGATGACCGCGGCGGTGCGGGCGCGCGGCCCCCGCGACTGCAGGAGGCGGCCGGTCTCCGCGTGGCCCTCGGGGGTCGGCAACCTGCCGCTGCGGAGCCGCATGCGGCTCTTGAAATGTTGGGTTATTTTTTTTTTACCTAATTCCCCCCCAAAAAATGCCTATTCTTGTTATTTTGGTTGCCGACCCCTGATCTCCAGTGTGGGGAGGCCTTCAACCCAGCAACATCCTGACACACGGGCTGTGCGAGTACTTCTTTAACCCCCCCCCCCCCACGTGTGTGCTTTGTCTCCACGTACTCTGGTTTTCTCTCGCGTGCAAAGGGGCTTTGACAAGGAGTTGTTGCGTTTAATTTGAGGCATTTCTAAATAATTATCTGCAATTGTGAATAGAGGAAAATGGTCACCTTCCCATTCATGAGGACCTCAATAACGTCCCTCGTCAACGCTTAAAGCCGCGCCAAGACCTTTTGGACCCATGCAATGAAGCTTGGAGAGCCGAATGGAGTTCAAAAGAACTTCTAAACCAACACCTTGTGAAAGACCCAACGCAGAAGATCCTTGGGTTTGATCTTCCTCGAAGCTCATTGTCCACCCTAAACCGCATCCACACAAACCATGGCAGATGCGGATACCTGATGCACAAAAAAGGAATATTAAAAACTGTCCAGTGTGCGACTGTGGTCATCTTCAACAGACCATACAACATATACCGATGAAATTTCCGATCCACAAATGCGAAGGAGACATCGCAGCGATACTCTCTGCCACTCCTGACACGATTATCTGGCTTGACCACCTGAATGTGAAATTTTAGTTGTTGCTCTGCATCTACTTCCGCCATACGAAAGAAGAAGAAGATGTTGAATCTAACCAACACTGCATTGTGAGTAACGGAGATGCCACAATGTGCTCCGTCTCCAGCTTGTGGGACACGCAAACTCAAAAGCTAAAATGCACAGATCCCCTTCACTCCGAGCCACATGAGAATGTGCCGATACGCAACATAGGACTTGAGAAATCCCTGACATATCACGGCCTCTGTAAAGGCGGAGTTATAGAGGTAAGATGGAAATAGGTGCAACCCCACGTTTGCTTGCTAACCCCACTTGGTGGGAACTCTACAGGCACCCCCCCTCAGAGGGCATGTGGCATGCTCTTCCACACTAGCCAGATGTCCATCGACTGTGGGTGGACTCAGTTACACTGCTCGGTGAACAGAGGCGGTGGTGGGGATTCACTAAACTTGCCTCGCTATGCCGGGAGATTGAATCGAACCGGCGACCTCTGGATTGCAGGTCCAGTGTGCTCACCCGTTACACAACCGCGGCAGCGGTGTCTGCAGGATCCATCGAAATGTGATCTAATCTCAGCCGTGGCACCTCCACGTCCTGGCGGTGTGGAAGGGGTTCGGGGCACGGAAGGGGATGGGGGTACGGCATCCCCCTGGGTTGTGACCCCAGTGGAGACGCGGCCTCGTGAAGCAAATGCCGTGCATGGTGCCGATAAGTTTACGTCTTTCCGAGCCGGGTCCATGATTAATTCCTTCCTGAGACTGCAGGCAGCAGTTATTCTGTCAGTTTGACTCGACTTTTATTGGTTTTCGTCCTCTGTCACCCAATCTGCAGGGTACTCCTAGGGTCCCGACCTCCATTATTTATCACGGCTGCTACGGTGAATGCCAGCGTGTGGGCACATGCACACGTGTGTGCACGTGTTGACGTATTAATGAATGCACAGGTATGTTTGTGCACATTTGGGTCGGAGTTATTATGAATTATTGATTCCTACTTGACAATGTTTGGGCCATGTCGTGTGTGTCGAGAGCAGTGGTGCAGTCGGTAAGTGTTGCTAAGGGTTCAATACCTGACCGTGTGCATTTTTCATTGGCATTACACTCAGTTTGCCTTTAACCAAATCACCTCGAATGCACCTGCTTTCATCACATCTTGGAAGCTCAAATGATAAGCCACTTTGTTGAGCTTTCATTTGTGGCCAGGTCGTTTCTGAAAAAGAGGCTAACAGCTCTGAGTCTTACCTGGCAATATCAAAAACATAGTTTAGTTTTACTTGTGTATATATATTTTAAGTGATTTGTTTACCTTTCCTATACTTTGCACTCCTATCCTGCTTTTGTGCTGTTTATTGTTGTAACGTTCTGACCTGCCCCTACTATACATCTGTGAACAAAGAGCTTTATAGCTCATCGGATTCCTCCAGTATAAATACATATTCTGATTCTGGGTTCACCCTGGATAGTGCCTGGATGACCGACCGCCATGCTGAGAGCATGTTGTGGCGAGCTGCAGGGCTACGTGGTGGTGGGCAGCAGCAGCCAGTGCAACTACAACTGCTGCTATAGTGTACAGCCTCTACTTCCATGTCTATGCTGCCTGCAATTACCAACCCGAACTGACCAGGGTGTGTAGGTATGGTCAATTAACCGCCAAGACCTACGTAATGTTTACACGTGTGTGTGTAGCGGTGGTGTAGCGACCCGGGTTCGATTCCCGCTCACGGCCAACACCAGTGACAATTATCTGAACCGGTCCTGCCCCCCCCCCCCAGGTCGACTCAGCCTCAAATGAGCACCTGGTACGATGTGTAAACATCGCCACTAGGGAGACAAAGGCGGCCGGGCGTGGTGTTGGCCACTCACACCCTTGTTTGCCGTGCCAGCCTTTATAGTTGCTCGCTAACAGCACTTGCCCCTACAGTCTGTTAAGGCTATACAGATGATCTTTATCTTTGTGTAGCGGTTAGTGCGTTGCGTTACAAACCGGTGACCAGAGTTTGATTCCCGCTCACGGCGAACGGCCGTGACGATTATCTGAACTTGTCCTGAGCCTCCCCTGAGTCGACTTCTCCTCAAATGAGTACCTGGTGTGGTTGTAAACATCGCCATTGGGGAGACAAAGGCGGCTGGTGTGGTGCTGGCCACTAACCCTCTCACGTGCCAAACTGGCCTTCAAAAGGTGGTCACTAAAAGCACTTTCCGCAGCAGTGTCTTAAGGCTACACGGGGAATCTGTGTGTGTGGGCGCTCGCGCGTTTGTGTGACAGCGACGTGCACCCGGACGGCCTGCGGCCAGACTTCACCATCTCCTTCCTCTTCCGAGTGCTCCCCGAGACCGGGCCCGAGCCGTTCGCGCTGTGGCAGGTGCTGAGCACCAGCGGGAGCCAGCAGGTGGCCATCATCCTCGACGGTGCGCACGCCCCCCCCCCCCCCCCGCTCGCAGCACCGACACCACCGCATCGTGGGGACGCACACACAGCACGGACATGACAGCCCACGTGACGTGACGTGAGTACACACACACACAGCACGGACATGACAGCCCACGTGACGTGACGTGAGTACACACACACACAGCACGGACATGACAGCCCACGTGACGAGACGTGGGGACACACACACACACAGCACGGACATGACAGCCCACATGACGTGGGGACACACACACACAGCACGGACATGACAGCCAACGTGACGAGACGTGGGGACACACGCAGCACGGAGATGACAGCCCACGTGACGAGACGTGAGTACACACACACACAGCACGGACATGACAGCCCACGTGACGAGACGTGAGTACACACACACACAGCACGGAGATGACAGCCCACGTGACGTGACGTGAGTACACACACACACAGCACGGACATGACAGCCCACGTGACGTGACGTGAGTACACACACACACAGCACGGACATGACAGCCCACATGACGTGGGGACACACACACACAGCACGGACATGACAGCCCACGTGACGTGACGTGAGTACACACACACGCAGCACGGAGATGACAGCCCACGTGACGTGACGTGAGTACACACACACACAGCACGGACATGACAGCCAACGTGACGTGACGTGGGGACACAAAGACAAATCAAAAATACATAAGGGCAATGTATGTACACACACGCACAATACAGGACGCACAGACACAACATGGCTTTTCAGAAACACAATGAGCTATACGTACACACACGTGCAACATGACAATACACAATGACAATGCAGCATGGGTACATCAACATAACATTGGTATGAACAAACACACAATGCGGCTATGTATGAGCACACTGCAATACATCGAGTCAAACACACAATAGAAGTTGTGAGCTCTGGACCGGTTTCAACATTCTGAGTATCATCAGCGGATTAGGGCGCAGAGTGCCGGCGTGTTGCCCGATGCAATTATCGCACGCAAGACATCAGACGCGAGCGTCAGGGTCATCTCTGTGTTCCCCTCGCCTCCCTGCAGTGGGCAAGAAGGTGCTGGCCTACGTCTACCATGATGAGCAGGGCCAGAGGCAGGTGGTGACGTTCGACGGGCCCGAGGTGCAGAGGATATTCTACGGCAGCTTCCACAAGGTCAGTGGAAGCTATCATTCGTGATGGGCAGGTCGCTTCTGAAAAAAGAGGCTATATCGCTGAGTGGGCCTTCTCTGGTAAAATAGAAAAAAACACTTTCGTCTTTAATTTAGTTTAGTGCTTCCCACGCGTTCCGATTTGGCACGCCTGGAAATGTCTGCCCCAAACGCACGGCACCACCAATGAGCCAGATGTGAAAATTCCACATTCCTGTGACAGTGCTTAGTGTTTTTTTGGGACGAAAGTTGTTGGCACTCAACGAAGTGAGGCAGCCTCAGCGGGAGGCCGAGAGGATGCATGGGTGAGGGGCAGCGGAAACGCAGCACGGCCAGTTTCACCGGCTGCTGCTACACTGACTGGGCCATATATCTGACTAAATAGAGGCATCATTATTATTATCGACTTTTGCTATTTCGCATGACAGGAAAATATTTTAGATTTTGCGCAACTTCAAAACGAGTGGATGCCTGTGGGAAAACGCTTAGACCGCTGGAAGAAATGCCCTGGCCAAATACTCACAGAGACGGGTTTAATAAATGTGTGTATCCTCGGGGATGGGAGTTCCCCTCGCGGCTCTGCATCAGAACGTAGCGCCCTGCGCGTTTCACGTTCACGGTGGCCGCCCCTGCTGTCGAGTGGATTCCGAGTTGGCTTCGCAAGGGCGCTGGAGGTCTGTGAAAAAGAAGTTTGTAGCTCGTCGGATTCCTCCAGTATCAATCAATATTCTGATGATTCTGTTTAAATGCAGCAGCCTTGACGGTGACAGTGCAGTTGCTACTTTATCTTTCGTTACCTCACAGCAAGTCACACACGTGCCCATTTCAAATGCTTACAAAATGAACAGTTGTACTCACGGTCATACGTGTAATCATTAGGATAATTTGACTAATACCAGTTGCAATTGAATGTGTGTGGCTTTAGCTATGAAAGGAAACTGAGGAATCCGGAATAAACTTTGGACAGAACAGGGGGAGAACATACAAACTCCACATAGATTGGCACCCGAAGCGGAAATCAACCCAGTACATTTTGGCTGTGAGGCACGACTGCGGAACCCTACCACCCACGTTCTGACATGTGCTGTGTGTGTGCTGTGCATGTCTTGTGTGTGTCCTGTGTGCTGTGTGTGCTGTGTGTGTGCTGTGATTCCTGGTACATCTGCTGCATGTGCCGCGCGTGCCCCACGTGTGCGTGTGCGCGCCATGTGCTGCGCGTGGTACCAGGTGCACGTGGTGGTGACGCGCGAGAGCGTCAAGGTGCACCTGGACTGCGCGCTGGTGGCGGAGCGCAGCTCGTCGCCGCCGGGGAACGTGACCACCGAGGGCCACGCGGAGATCGGCCGCCTCCTGCAGTCACGGGGGCCGCGCGCCCGCACCGCCGCGGTAAGACGCGCCCCCTCTGCCCGCCCCGCACGCACTGCCCCGAGGACCGAGCCTCGCCGAGATTCGCGTTACCCAACCCTCACCAGGAACGAAGACAAGAGCCGATCTGGACGAAGAAATTACCGCGTCACCTTAACGTGGAAAGACTGCTGCCCCGCTGAGCTGCCTCGGCTGTTCGTCCAGCACGTTAGGATGTGACGGCGTATAATCGCAGGCCGTCGGCGCACGTGCCGTAATTAACAAAACCGCAATGTAGATGCGACAGGTGCAATTACCTGCTTGCGGTCGGCGTCTGAATGAATTGCGCGCGAGGCCCCGTGCTTGCGTTGTTGCCGCATCGAGCGCTCACTGCATTGCAGGCTGACGCAAGCAGGGAAGGAAGGGATTAAATAAATCGGTGGAATTATTTCTCTCTCCACGTAGATCATCATTTTCCATGCGCAGCCCTTGGACATTTTCCCCCAGACTGCCAACGCAGCTCTTTCAGCGTCTGCCCAGCTTCCTGGTTTGAGGTTTTTGATGGGGCAATTTTTGGATTCCGTGTTATTATATTTGCCTTAGTTTAGCTTCTCAGATCAAGCCTCGGGTTTATCCGGGACATCGTGTCCCCCTGCAATTTAAGAGCCCTTTAAGCAACCTAGCACAAAGGCCAAGCAGGGCAGAGTGGCCTCGAGGGCAAGTCGGTCTCATCGGCGTCTGCCATGGCAAATCCAGAACAGTTCCCCTCTCTCCAGGGCTGTCGAAGACACTGTTTGGGGAGGTACCGCTGACTTCGTTAAATGTTTCGCACCCAGCACACCACGTCCGGGATACCCCTCGCTTTGGCTGTTGGCTACGAGTCGCATGCCAGTCTACTGTCGACCCGGGAATTATTCGGTGATAAATGAGGTCGCCCAAACCGGAGAATTTCCAAACGGAATGTAGCCTACGCTGAGCAGACATTATGCGACTTCAGAACCAATCTGGCATCCCATACCATGGCGATGACAAATAAGGCAGCAGCGGAAATACATTTTTGAGTATTTTAGTTTTTTATTACCAATTATTGGTTTTGTCACGAGGCAGTTCAGTGTCCCATGGAACCCTCGCGGCATCCAGGGCGCCACACGGCGACCTGCTTGGTGATACCACAGAACCACTGCTGGAGTCGGATTAACGAGACCCCTCTGGAGCGCACACTCTGCAAAACTGTTTTTGAAACGTGGCGAGGTACCAAACCTTTCTTCCTCGAGCCAATGTGCAACAAGTTAAGTGAAAATCCAAAAGCCAAATTGTCCTTATATTGGTCACCGGGCAGTAACTATCAGCTCGTTACAGTTGAGAAGCTGGATTAATCAGATCGTGACCCTAAATATGGAAACTGTGACCCCTTGTGCCACTCAGATTAACATCGGAACGTCTTCCTGGTGCATGCATTACATAACGGTGACGGAGTAGTACGAGAAAAAATGCTTTGTCAATCCACTGCTGGATGATAGCCTCCCCACACCGTGCATGTCGTGGGGGTTATTTTTACCATACTTCGCCACACTGGTCAGTGTAGGTCGGTAACGGCAGGGACATTATATGCGGGGGGCATGGAAGTATAGTACAAGATTGGATATTGCGGCACTGTTCTCTGCTGCCCTATAATTTCGCCTCCCAGCCTGTAACAACCTATTATGCATGGCGGTCGCCCATCTAAGCACTACCCAGGTTCAACCTTACTTTGGCTTCTGGAATATGGTAAGATCAAGTGCATTCCAGATTTGGTCAGAGGTTGGGCAGCCAACTCATAAAGCAAGGCTGCAGAGTGGAAGCCACCGTTACCCTGGAACAAATTTCACGGTCCACTTTCCCTTGGCCAAGAGCACCGAAGCATAGCAAAGTGGTCTGTCTGCCTTAAAAAATAAAAAATTACTGGAGCCTCTAATGTTCTTCAAATAATAATTCACTTAATAATGTTATAAAAGCGAACATAAAGAACATTTAATTTCTTTTAATTTTGTCCTGTGCCGCGGTGTTGGTTTTGGCTGTAGGAGTCGTGGTTGTTCAGTGCCGGTGGTGAGCCGCTTCAGGTCTTAGTAAGCGTAAGCGCGGTGCCTTCCTTTGCCATTCCCTTTGATTTAAACACATCACCATTGTTGTTGGAAATCACTTTTTTTCGTAGCCTTTAGACAGAAAAACTGCTTGCCCAACTGCACACGAATAATGCCATTTGTATACCTGTTTGCGGCATATGTGGTACGTGTGTGTGTGCTTGTCGTGCATTGGGGCCGTCTGGAATGGAACATGGCAGGCGAATGTTGTAGATGCGAGTCACAGACACGGTCGCACTGGGTGGCACGTGTGGGCAGGATGGAGGGGTGGTCGGTTACCGAGACCGGAATTGGAGCGGTCTCCACAGGTCCAACGACCAAGGGGAAGAGAAGGCCTAAGAGAGCACGGTGGATGTTACTGTGTGTCCCTGTGCAGCAGCTACGGGATGTGGTGGAGGGCCGAAAGCATTGGCTATGAGGTGCGGTAGTGGCATCAATGGCTTTGGCCAAGATGACTCCTTGTAGTTGTGCCTTGTCCCGCGCATTGTGTTTATTGATTTCCACCATGTGTGTGGGATGCTGCACGTCTGTCCCTCCTCTGGGTGCAGTTTCAGCTACAGATGTTCGAGATCGTGTGCAGCATGGGCTGGACGAGTCGTGACAAGTGCTGCGAGCTCCCGGCCACGGTGCGTACTCAGGGAGGAGGGGGGACGGGGTGGACGAGGGTGCTTCTTATAATTCCCACAAACTCTAGGATGGCAGCGTGGGCCCGTGGGTCCCCGCTGCCCCTGCTCGTCGCGTGCGGAACCCGGCACGATGCGGCCGAGCGGCTTAGGTCCGGCAGAAACACTGCGTGGCTCGTGATGAATCTCGAAGTGAATGCAGCACACTCTGGGTTTATAGAGCGTCTCGCTTCCGCCGTGGTGATGCGACATGAGCAAGCAAAATCTCACACGTTACGCGCGCGTCATTCTTTACTTCCTCGGCGTTACACGTGCGAGCGCGCTTTCCGATGCATTCAGCCTTGGTCACGCGTGCGTGCGTGCAAACACGTACGCAGCACGTGTATATTGACTGGTCAAACTGCTGTAATAAAGGACTCTCTCTCAGATGTCGATCTCCGTTGTCCTTTATTGGGTTCGTAGAATCTCCGTACCACGGCGTCTCGCTCAGGGCCGCGTCCCGCTCGCCGACTTCTCCACAGCCCTCGGCTGCTCCGTTGTGCAGTCTCCCTGCTGCTCCAATATGCAGTCTCCCTGCTGCTCCAATATGCAGTCTCACTGCTGCTCCAATAGGCAGTCTCCCTGCTGCTCCGATATGCAGTCTCCCTGCTGCTCCAATATGCAGTCTCACTGCTGCTCCAATATGCAGTCTCACTGCTGCCCCGTCAGGCGATCCTTGCAGCCACACCGCTGCCCCGCTATCTAGCGTCACTGCTGCCTCTTTCACAGCTAGCCTCTCCCTGCCCCGTTAGCTCTCTTCGTCTGACACCGATGGCTGTCGGTGTCGACGTCTCCCACCGCGTGGCAACCGCGCCACACTCTCCGTCTTGCCCAGCGTGGCCTCCTCGTATTTCACTCCGTCTCAACTCCCCTTTCCCCTTCCGGTTCTCTCCCTAAATCCTCTCCCCCACATGACCCTAACTCCACCCACTCCCCACGTGACCCAGACTCCACCCCCCCTCAATCCTTGCTCGCATTACACTGCCCACGAATACCACACCACAATTAGAGATGCCAATCCAAAACCCGGCAACCCTGGAAACCTTGTCCAGAAAGATTAACCAGTGCCGTATTTGACTCAAGGAACAGGAAAAGTGGGCTAAATAACCATGCGAGTAACAGTGACAAACAAGCTTTAGGTCCAGCTTGTGCCGTAATGCTGTCACAGCCCTGTTACTCTACCCCTGGATAAAGGCCTCCCTCATGGGAGCTCTCGGACATACTTCACCATGCTGGCCTCTACGGATTGGTGAAGGAGAGGACCAAGACCGGTTCAGATATAACTCGTCTCTGATGTTAGCCATAGCCTGGGATCCAACTCGGGTTGCTAGGTTCACAGCGCATTCCGCGAACCGCTGCGTCACCGCTGCTTCCACGTGCCGTAATACCGAGTGATGCTTACACCGAGGTTTGTTAGAGATATCCCCATCGCTTCAGATTGTGTGTGAGGTTTAGAGGTGGGTGACGTGTCCCTCCCCGGGAATCCCACACTTGGGAAGCGAGGGTTGGTGAATCACCAGGGATTGTTGAAACTCCCAAACCCCACGGGCTGCTGCGACAGCAAAGGGACAGCAGTACAGCAAGTGGGTGTCACGACTCCTCCCGCGTGACCATTGCGTTTTGTACATGCAGTGCACATTTCTGCTGCGCTGTTTAATATATGACCGTTTCGCTCTATCCACTCTTTCGTACGGGTTTTCTCCGGGTACTCTGGTTTCCTCCCACATGCAAAAGACGCTCGGTAATGGGAATTGGCCAAGCTTGCCGATGCCGAGACCTTTTGAAAACATAATCTTGAGGCTTGGTGAGGATTTCCTGTATAAAATTAAATTACATTATTATTATGACTGCAGTTTTATACGTTGTAACTTTTTTCACGGATGGAATAAAATAACTCAAGATTGATTTCATTTAGAAATCTAATTTCGCCGAGTCAGATGCAAGCATTAAGACACGTGGGTGCCACACAGCGTGATAAAGGTCTCTCTGTGCCTCAGGCAGTGTTCAGAGTGATCCATCCCAGCCACGTCTAACAGATTCGCAGGCTGCCCAAGTTGGGAGTATTTAACAAGTGGGAGTGGAAACCTCATTCATGCCAGAAATGTTGTTTAAGCTCTGGGCAAGTACTTTACAGTTTAAATGTTGAGCCCAGACAGATGCTGTTTGGAGATCTCTTCGAAGTCTCGAGTAGCAATGTGGGTGATTTGATATAAGCACAACTTGATTTCTGAAAGAAAAAAAACGAACTCATTTAATGACGGCTTTAATCGGTCGTGTCCCTGTGGGATTGCCTTAATATTTTACTTGGTCAATACCGATGCAGACTTGTTGACAATGAGAAGGAGCCCTCAGTTTTAGGGATGTTCATTCATTGGTAGGAAATTTGTGTACAAATTCAGTCTTCAGGCACGTTGCTGTTGTTGGAGTGTGCTTTGAAGTCATACATACCGTCAAATGAACCGTTTAATATTCATATTCTTGTTATGCTTGTTTCCCCACGAGTCTCACGACTCGTTTTCAAGAGGATCCTGCCATGTATTCGCACTTTGGGACGAGGTTACTTCTGCCTGTAATCCCAATTGAGTAATCAGTTAAATGTTGTGTATTGGTTTGTCCGCTAGTTACCCTGCAGTGCGGCTGAGTAAAGCATCGTCAGAGTAGATGCTGCACTGCTCACTGATCAGTACACAGTCATTGTGAGCTGCTACCACCCACAGTGCTGGGGGAAATGGGAGCCGTCCAATATATTAGAAAATAAACAGAAAATACAAATGACCTTTCAATTCCAGACTTCACGAATTAAATGGGACCCATTATGCGGTACTGCATTTTCCAAAAATGTTTGTAATTTTTACATTACTTGCATTTTTTGTGATATATTTTTGTATGTTCGAAAACTTGTTTTTTCAACAAAATGTTTTGCCATAAAGAGACTTTGTGTGCGCAAGTACAAAACGTCACCAAAGTATCCAGTACGGAGGCTGCTATTCACATCACGCTGGGGGTAGTGTTTGTACTTTTGTGCAATTCGTTTTGTACGTGGGGAGCGGTAGCGCAGCAGTTAGCGTGCTGCTGTACGATCCTGGCGACTCGAGTTCGATTCCGGCTCACGGCCACAACACGGGTAATTATTATCTGAATCGGTCCTGGACTGGCCCTAGGTCGACTCAACCTCAAACAAGTACCTGATGTGGTGTGTAAACATCGCCATTGGGGAGACAAAGGCGGGCGGGCGTGGTGAATCCAAGTCCCGGGCGAAGCCGGGTAGTCAAGCTAGTGTTATACATATATTGTTGGCTTCATCTTGATTCGAATTTGAGAGGGATATTTGATGCACCCCTTCTTTTTTTCTTCAATTAGTTTTGGGCCTTTCCCGAGGTCGACTCGGCCAGTGTGTGAACATCGATACTGGGCAGACAAAGGCGGTCGGGTGTTGTGCGAGCCACAACCACCCGCTCTCATGCGCAATGTTGTTTCCCTTAATAGGTGCTCGCGGACAGCCCTGGACCCAACAGTCTGTTGAAGCTGCACGGGGTGACCGTTGCGTCTGTGTGTGTGTTGTGCAGAGAGACGAAGCCAAATGCCCTGCGCTGCCCCATGCCTGCAAGTGCTCCCTGGACAGCGTGGGGCCGCCCGGACCCCCAGGGCCAGCGGTGAGAGTCGCCCCCCTCCCCCTTCCCGTCGGACCCTAACCCCAAGCCGTCGCCGCGTGCCGGGGAAGTATGTCATGTGCACCGCGCGTGCCCCCCCCCCCCCCCCCCCCGCTCTGCGCGTTACTCGTTGGGCTCTGCTGTGACGTTGCCGTACTCTCCTCGCGGTCACATTCACAACTCTGTCTGTCCACCTCAGTCTCCATCTACCTCGGTTCCTTATTTCTTCCACTTTACCAGCCGTCAACAGTTGCTCCAGATTTACCCCGTCACGCCCGTAGCTGCTTGTCCAAAACACTTTAGTTTCCGTCTTCACGTCGCGGTGTGCGGTCTAGCCGGTTCTTGCTGCGTTCCACGGGGCACGCAGGCGTCTCCTCAAACACGTGCTTCGCGAGCTACCATCGTCCTCCTGTCAGCTGCACAGATCCACAACGTGTGACGTGCACGCATTCAAGATGTTGACTACCTCACCTGGTATACAGGAGGTCGTGGGTTCGATTCCGACCCTAATGCATGCTATATATTTGGAGTTTGCATGTTCTCCCTGTGGTCGTGTGGATTTTTCTCTGGGTCCCCCGGTTTTTCCGTTCACATTTAGAATCAACATGTGTTTAGAATATTTGGCTGCGATAAATGTACACATGATAAGCAACTTCATTGAGCTATCATTTGTGGCCAGGTCGCTTCAGATAAAGATATATAAAGCTCAGTCGGCCTTACTTGGTATAATAAAATAAAAAAATGTGTATAATCGGAAACCCTCAAATGTTTTGAGGAGCATAATATTTGTGCCTCTACTAACACTGCTGCTGACCCTCCATAGTTTGTTAATCTTTGGGAAGACATGAGATTAATAAAACCTGTGTTTATAACAGCTTACTGTGCCTACTGGCGGCGATATAAAGTCTATTGTACATTGTAGAAGAGAGACCAGAACAATAAGGGGTATTTTTAATTACAGCAGTAAAAATGCGCAGGAAAGAACATACTTTAGTTAAACAAATAAGAACATCAAAATACTGAACATAATCGGAATTGTAAGCGAAAACCAATTAAAATAGCCGTGTAAAGTGAATTCGCATTGGAAACAAGGCAAAGAGGCCAACGTTAGATTAGCGGCATAACCGTAAAGCTTATTTACAAGCGCCGTTAAAGGGCCTCTGGTCTGTAAGTATAAATAGTGGAATCCTAACACATGGATGAACCATCGGAAGGCAATAATAACACAAGGAATGTACTACGATCACAATGAACACTGGCTATTATATTTTCTTAACAATCAAGGACTCCGGGGTATTAAAAGCTAGCAGTTATATTCTTGCCAATGTCATTAATTAGCTACTATTAAAAGTAACTTTTACCATTTTCACAATGTATAAAAAAACAGAACGCTTGCCATCACCATAATTTGGCCACGAGTAAAAATAATGAATTTCACGAGATATTTATGCTTCTGCATTTTAACCGCCGGTGACATCGCGCACTATTGTGTGTGTTTGTTGTGTGGTAGCGCTGGAGAGGTTTTACTCCATTCTTAAGCCAGTGGTGGAGTGGTAATGGCACCACGTGCCCCCCGAGTGGGCAGATATCCCTCGCACAATGGGGCGGGGGGGTTGTTCATGAACCGGGGCTGTGCAGTCCAGATGATGTAGCACTGCCACCAGCTGCGGCTCTGGATCCCCCACGCATTACGTAGCTCGGAAACATACCCGCGTAGCCCTCGCTGCCGGAATCGTGGCCGAGCAGTGACACGGCTGGGCAGGGGCACAGTCGCCGCTTGTTTGCGGGGGGGGGGTTGTAGTTCGGGGCCAGTGGCTGCCCTGGTTAATACTGCAGAAGTGTCGACTGAGCATCCTACGCTCTCTGTCTGCCCTGCAGGGAACTTTACAGATCCCGTGACGTCGCTGAAAAAGAGTAGGCCATGCGTGCCAGCGTCACGGTCCAAATGTTTAAATAACCCGCAAATTACACCATTGCGGGAAAAACAAGATCGCAACATCGCCTCCGACCGGTAGACTTTACCATCTGTGGAACATAGCACCAGTTGTAGGAGAAGATCCCTTATCTGAGACCAGTGCAAAACACAACACTCCCATCTTCTTGGTTCTTTTGGTAAAGTCACGTAGAAGGGAAGTAATAAAATAATAAAAATAAAATATAATAAAATTATTCTCACGACGTTTCGGCCACAACGCAAGCAGCCGTCCTCAGGTGAAAACCAGGTCCGTCGAGTCTGTCGCCTCGAGTCTGTCGACTCGACGGACCTGGTTTTCACCTGAGGACGGCTGCTTGCGTTGTGGCCGAAACGTCGTGAGAATTATTTTATTATGTTTTATTTTTATTATTTTATTACTTCCCTTCTACGTGACTTTACCGAAAGAACCAAGAAGATGAATCCCTGCAGTCACGAAAGCTTTAAATCACAACACTCCCAGATGGTGGGACCAAACTGTGTCCTGCGTTCCAGTGGTAAATATGGAACGGGAGATTCCCAACTGCCGCCGCCTCCTGATAAGAAGAAGTCCTGGCTCTTGGTGTGGTGAGACTGCAGAGAGGAGCAGGGTCCTGTGCAGTCTGCCGGCCCTCAATCAGGAAACCGAGTGTCCCGCTCAAGATCTCTAAGCTCGTGGCTGCGATATAATTCTATGATGGGACTGCCGGTTCGAGGAAAGATACCCTGTCCCGCGTGTGAGGGGGGCAGAACGTTTGGTGCAGCTCTAAGTAGAACACGTTCTCTTCTACAGTGACTCCGCGCTCGTGGGGTTTATGCCGCGCGCGTTACGCACACTGCGCTCACCTTGGGATCATGCGTGCCGTCCTGCCCACACATCGCCCCGTGCCGTCCCTGCGTTGTGATGTTGGGGGTCCTCTGCATTCCTACCGAGGTCCAATACTCCGAAGCAATTTTCGCTGTGCGTTTCCTACCCCGCAAGGGCTACCCCCCCCCCCCCCCCCCCCCCACGGTGGTGCGGAGAAAACGGCCCCAGTCCCTGCCCCGTTGCCCTGCGTCTCAACCTCGCTCGCGGCAATTATCGAAGCCGCGGCACAGAAACCTCACGTGCGGTGCACCGCCCCAAGCCCTGCATGCCATCTGATTGCCATGACATCACCTGGCGACGTTAGCGCTTACGCGGGCACGTCCATAACCGGCACCGTCGTCAGCTATAATTAAAAAAACACAATGACAACTTGAAATTGCGCTTAATAAAGTTAATGGCAAAGGGTTTTGGGTCTTTTTTTACATTTTCCATCTGTGGAATTATTGCGGACATACTGATGCACTGACGTAAGCTGTTGTGCGTGACTTTCTCTCGAAGTCTCGGCGCGATGGGCGGCAGTGGGGTAGACGCGGCGGGGACGATCGCTTCGTACCTCCTCCTCTCCCAACCGCCCCACACGGTTGTAGGTTCTGCTGGGGCGTTGTTATTCCTGGACGGCCGCCAGTTCTAAAGGGAGGAGGGGTTGGTGGAGAAATTCAGGAATTATAGTGCCGTCTGCGTCGCGTCCTCTCCGGGCTTATATAATTCCCGTGGCTGATAAAAAAATGAAATAAAGCCACGAGCAGCTCCTTCTCAGAAGCTGCTTTATTCGCAAACCCCCACTTTGAGCAGTGAGACGTGTGGACTTAGCGCCCTCCGCTCAATCCCAAAGCCTGACAGCTTGCCTCGGTAGGCATGTAGGTGGGCATTTAGGTGGACAGGTATGTGTGATCGCTCAATATGCTGTCGTGGGAATCGGTCCTAATTAAATTTTGTCCAAACTCAATGCAGGTCATAATTGATTAATTATGGAAACGTACACCCTGAAAATGTAAGTTATCTGATGAACGTCATATTAAAACATCTACTCATAACATACATGTTGGCAACTTGTCATCAGATTAGAAGGAGATTTTGCATTTTGGTAACATGCGTGGGTCTCATTGATTCCATGCTTGAGTTTCCAAATTTGATTTCAATGTTTCTGGGTTTTTTTCAGTCTTAAAAAGGTAATTTTTCGTAGGATATGCCAAGTGCCTCACAAACTAGTCCTTGAATTTTCAAACCAGTGTCGTAGACCGATGACAATCCCGAGCAGAAACTAGCACCAATATTCCAACAAGTCTTCCTTGCCACAAGGACGTACGCGTGTGAGTTGAGATCCCCAGTACATGGCATTTTGTCTGGCCTTCGTGACTCATTATGCTCGAAACTACTTGGGGTATCAGCCTCGCACACTAGCCATGTGATAAACACAGCCTCCAATGTGACGTCAGTTCGCGAGCAAGCGATGCAGCTGAGCAATGCGATGCGTCGTGCCGTTCTTCTGGGCCACACAGCGGGGGATACTGCACAATCGGCCCCCGACGCAATAAGCCACGAGCGGGGTTCTCTACGGCACATTTCCATTCGAGGCACGGTTGACGTTTGCAGATTATTAACGGGTTACCTATGGTGGTGCATAATGCACAGTATGGGATATGTTACACTTGAAAAATACAGATGTTCTCAATCCACCAATGATCGATTACCTCCCCACGCCGTGTTGGCCATGAGGGAGAGGTATTTGTGTTACCATACTTCACTGGGCTGGTCAGTATGAGTTGGCGAGGAGGAGGATAGGACGAGACCGGTTTTGATATCACTCACCATGTTTGGGAATCGGGACTCCGGCCGCCAGGATCCTAACGGAGCCTGCAAAACAACTGCACCACCGCTCCACCCCATATCAAAAAGGATTTGCATACTCAAAGGGACAGTTAATTGTCTTCTCACTGAGAGAAATCCAGGTCAAATAACGTTGTATTAACCGCAACCAACCAACGGACAAATCATTACAACTCACAGTTGGAAAATTCGGTCACGTGGATACCAAGCCCACCCATACAGCCCCTTCCCCGATCCCACACTGCATTCACTCAAACAGCCCAATGACATTTTGTTCAATTAAGCTGTACCTTCCAGTAATTCAAGAGTAAGGCTGTTATAGCCAACAGGCAGTCATGCTGACCTGTATTCCCTATATTGCTTATAGCTTCCAACTGCTGCAGAATTTTATAGACAGAGTCATTGCAGAACAAATGCTGGCTACTTCGCTACAAACGAAAGTTACTTAAATTGCTTGTAGAAATGTGCTTCGTGATTTTTCTTTTGAGTAAAGGACCTGTTATGTGTGATTGTCGTACGTGTTAGTGCCCATTTGTACCTGACCGTGTGTGTATGGGTGCTTTTATGTGCGTGTCTTTATGGTGTGGGGAGGGGGGTAGTGTAATGCTTAGCGCACGGCGCTATGAACCCGGCGAGCCAAGTTCGATTCCCACTCACAGCCAACACAGATGACGATATATGAATCAGTACTGGGCTTCTCCTAGGTCGACACAGCAATCAATGAGTACCTGGTACGCTGTATAAAACTTCAACAATGGGGAGACAAAGGCGGCTGGGTGTGGTGTAGGCCACACTACCATGCACCGCCCTTGAATGTTGCTCATTAATAGCACCGCAAATAGTCTGTTCAAGGCAATATGGGCGATCTTTGTGTGGGGGGTTTGTCTGTGCATTTGTTGATGAGTGTGCATCTTTCAATGCGTGGGTGTGGATACTGTTTTGTATATGTCTACGTGGTATGTGTGTGTGAGTGTGGAGGGAGCAGCAGTGCTGTGGTTAGCGTGCTGTGCTATGAACCTGGTGGCCGAGTTCGATTCCCGCTCAGGGCCAACACCAGTAATGATCATCTGAACCGGTCCCAGGCCTCCCCTAGGTCGACTCAGTCTCAAAAGAGTAGGATAGCTGGTGCGATGTGTAACACATCTCTACTAGGGAGAGAAAAGCGGCCGGGCGTGGTGCTGGCCGCCCACCCCCTCGTGTGCTGTGCTGGCCTTCATCGGGGCTTGCTAAAAGCACTTGCCCTAACATTCTGTTAAGGCTATACGGGGGATCTTTGTCTTTGTAGAGGAGTTCACCATACATACACACATACCTATACAGTCTTCTTATAGCTAGCTCCGTTTGGCAGCAGACGTTTCATTCTTAGTCAGTCGAGCGACATTTCATTGGCTGCATAACACTGTGGAAGCTGCCTGAGCTGATGCTACACATTGAAGCTCACGGTCTTCTTGGCCACAGTTATGCCCTCTCTTATGCTGCAAAACATGGACCCCCTCTAAAGGGGAACATCTGCACTGGTTTGAAACATTCAGGCTGGCCTGTCTACGGTCTATCCTGGTTTGACCAGGCTAGCTTGAGTAAGGAGCTTACACATTCTTGAAAGATCTGGACACAGTTCCATTGGTGAGTTCCTCCAGCAGGCGAGCCTGTGCTGGCTGGGTCATGTAGTCTGCATGCCCAGCCACCACATGCCCAAGCAGCTTATTTTTGGCCGGATAGAGGGGGCTAAATGGGTGGCGGCATAGGCTAGAGAAGAGTTGGGCTGATGTGGTATTGGAGAATGTGGAGCTGAGTTGTCAATAACTGGTGCCAGCAGTGTGACGATTGGCCTCTGTGGAGGAAGCTCGTGCTACTGGATAGTTGGAGGCAGTCACCCTCCAACAACAATGGAGGGTGGAGGAGCAATTCTCACAGCAGCAAATGGTGTATTGGGGAGATTAAACGCAGCAAGCTGCAACAGTAGAGAGCACCGGTGGTGCATCTGCCAGTCATCTCATACAGTCAACCCATAGCACCTGGGTGTGTCCCATGATCGCCTGCTAGCGAGCCTTCTACACTTCACGTGGCCTCAAGGTGCACCTAGCCTGGCAGAATCGCAATGGTGACATCACTGCCACTTAGTGGCTAAAATTGTTTGTTGTCTTATAGATGTGTTGTTTGTCTTATATGTATGTGTGTGTTGTTTGCCACACCTCCCACTTGTGTTGCATTGTTGGCCTTCGTAGGTACTCGCTCACAGCACTTTCCGCAATAGTCTGTTGAGGCTAGAAAGGGAATCTTTGTCTTTGTGTACGCATATGGGGCTATGTAATGGATGTATATATGTGCGTGTGTGTTTCTGTGTGTGCGTGCGTTCAGGGAGGTCCTGGTATCCGTGGAGCAAGAGGAACACAAGGGGACCTTGGTTCCAAAGTGAGTGATCCCCACACACACACACAAGGCTGGTCAGTGCAGGTTGGTGAAGGCGGGGAGCATAGATGTGGCAGCAGAGCATCAGGACGTCGCAATGCCTTTTTCTGCACTGCCCTTTCCTGCCCACTCTCTGACTAGTGACCGATTCCTGGTGGTTATTGATAGGCTTCCAAGTAGTATCTGCAGAGGTTGCCCCCCCCCCCCATTTCGTCATAGATAAGAGGCGTTCTTACTGCACTATAATTATATTAAATCCATGCAACTACTGGCGACTGTCCCAGTACTGAGCAGAATGTTCATGCACTGCTGTGTGTCCAAATGCCTCCGTCATCAGCACAACCTTCATCCTTGTTAGACTGTTAACGGGAGTTAAACGCAGACTCAAAAATATCCAGATTTTGCGTCCAAAATGTTGTGAGTCTCTTAGCCATATCTAAACATGATGTGGATGGTGCACCGGCACCCACGATACCCACAGTGTCTGCGTTCCTGAAGGGGGATCCATGATTATTGGCAACACACGATGAGCTCAAATACCCCACTCGATCGTGATAGGAGGGTTGTGGAATACTGAAACTTCGGTGACCCTGTGCATGGCATGGGAGCGCAGAAGTATAGCACAACAAAGGATGTGGCTGCACTGCCCTCAGCTGCCCATCACATAGTCCTGCATCACCCAGTGATCACCCACCCAAGCATGATCCATGCTCATAACCTGTTTAGCTTTTGAGATCTGTCGAAATGGAGTGCATTCTGGGTGATTTGGTTGTCGGGACTCATTTCACTGTTGCGTGTATATGTTTTTTTCACTTTACGTCAGACAAATAGTTTGAGAAAAATAGATTTGGTGTAGACGGATATCCAGCCCCCGGAGGAGCCCTAGTCAAAACAAATCCCAAATTGGGGCAGCCGTGGACCGTAGAGGGTGGCTTGCCCGAGAGGTTCCACTCTTTAGCGATGGCTGATATTATGCAGCCATGCGCTGTTATTTTTGTAAAAATAGCGGTGTTACCGTGTGCTGTGATTCTCTTTTGGATTGAAATGCTCCCTTGTTTACTATTTATAATAGATACCTAATATTGTAGCGATTGAGCAATGCATTTTCCAAGCATTTAGGCAGACAAGAATAACAGTTATTCTCACATACCCTGATATACACTTGCACGCATTATCACACATATGCACGCACAGACATTTCAGTTTACAAAGACAAGCACATACACTCTCTTTAACACATGCACGTACACATATGACTACCATGCTTTCATCCCTGTGGCAATGGGGAGTGCTGTAGTTTTCACAGCCGCTCGTAATGAATGTGGTCTTCGGGGTTAGGCCACACATTGGACCCACAGTAGTGCGTGGTGACAGTTTGAGAGTAAGAATGCTCACTGTTCCGCCGAAACCAGAAGAACACACTTGGATTGCTCTGGCTTTCTTGCACCCTCCTCTGTAGCTGCTGACCGATGTTTGTGTTTCTGTACCACTCCCGTCTCCCCAGGGAGCAGATGGAATTCGAGGGGAGTTGGGACCTATCGGTCAGCAGGGTGCCCCAGGGCCTCAGGGCCCACCCGGCATGTCGATACAAGGCGACCCGGTAAGCCCGACTGCATGCGACGGGGCGACCCATTCCTCGTCGACAAGAGACATTAAACCCAGGAGCACAGATTGTTAGTGTGAATCATCGCATGTTTTTGGGTGAACCCACGTCATAATCTGGCCAAATTTGTTTTGTTAAGACCCACCACCACCTGACGGCCAAACAAATCAAATTGTCACGTGCACAAGCGTGTTACGCCACAGGTATCATTATTATTATTGTTTGCCAATCTCTGTAGAGTACAAATGCTCGTGTGTGCATCTGCGTGGCAGGGCCGGCAAGGAGAGAAGGGAGAGAAGGGAGAACCAGGCCCACCAGGTCCTCAGGTAAGTCTCATCACCCTTCTCTCACCATTATTGTCATTTATATTACTTTTCCACTGGCACATCCAAGCCTAGCCAGCGTGGATAGAGCGTGCTGAGCCAGAACCAAACCGTGATGCCACTGACCTCACAAGACCTCTTTATCCAGCTTGGGGTGGAACTGGGCCAGGGCAAGTAGCCGATTATACGTTCGTTGTGCGTGATGTCGGTCAATACATTGCAAGGAGCCAGCATTACCGCGTCATCTGCGTTTGTCCGGACGTGTTCATTCAACATGAGCCTGGTTCGGCACAGCCCATTTACGGCTAGGCTTTACAGTGGAATAGAGGTATCATCAACTCACCTTGTGTCATAAGATGCCAACTGAGGAACGACTCTGCCATATCTCTCTATTCTTTAATCAGATTGCTGAGATAATAATAAGAGTGGACTCATCTGTGCCAACATTGACCTTCTTAAGACTCAAAAAGGAAGATGATCCGAATCATAAATGGTTTCTGATGGCCTCACACATAGGCCCTACATAGGAAATCTTTCAAAAAGATTGCAAAATTGGTGGGCTACCTGGTTTTTATGTACATTGTGAAGTAATATTACGGGTACATTTTTCATGTTTCCATGATTTATACCCACATTATTAAAATGTGATGAAAATGCTTTAATGCTCTCCGACTAAGGTTAAAAGTGTTTACACATTAGCTATGTCCGTCCATCTGCATCGGCAGGGAGGGCACTTTAACTCTTGTAAAGATCATCTGGTATGAACGAAACTTAAGAGTACGAAGTTGTGTTGCTATTAGAGACTCGGCCTCTTGAAATCCGGCCACATTGATCAAAGGGTTACGCAAAAAACTTGGAGACACAAACCACAACAAAAAGGTCCATCGCAAATTTATTTGACAGCTACTCGTTGGAAATATGCAAAACAAACACATCTTGCCATGACAGCTTTATGACAGCTTCCTTCCCCATTGTACAATGCCTCCAAGGACAAACGCATGGCCCCGGAAAATCCTTACATAATCTATGCATATGCATGACTTTTAGAACTTGTTTTCTAGCATATCTTTTGAAAAGCGCAATCCAGCCATGTGTCTTCATAATAATAATAATAATAGGCACGTTTATTTGTCAAGCTTCACCTTTTAGAGACGACGTCACTAGGCCAAGGCCTGTGGCGATGCTGGAGTGTAGAGGTACTCGGCGCTTTCTGTCCGAGTGAGGAAGGTTTGGACAAAACAACGACGTGTTCAAACGTTATTTGAACGTTTTGTGAGTTGTGGTGGGATCGAAGGCCATTGTGGCAGAGCTTCCAGACCAATGGAGGCGTGAATCTTCACGTGCATTTTGCGCGTAATCGCAATCAACCAATCATACGGCTGGGATTTCAAAGAGGGCAACTCAAGAGTGCCACAAGTGTGTTGACGTTTTGTTGAGGACTGAACCCCGGCCTGTGTGCGTCACTGCAGCATTACTCTAGTTGACGCTTCACACCTGTGTGGTGGTTTTGGTGAGGCTCTGCATGCATAACAACTCTGTTCACCTTTGAATGTTAATTGAGATGATAGTCGTCGCACTCTGATGGCTCTGACATGACGATGAGGTTAGAGCGTGGCACTGCCTGTAATCCGGCGGTGCTAGAAGGGGTTGGCTGTCGCTTTGTTTAGAAGATAGGTTAGGGTAAAGGTGCGGCCATGCATTTGTTTGCTCACGGCACTACTGTCAGAAGAAATCTCTCGTACAGAGCCCCTCCGAGGATATTTTGTCCTCTTCTTCTACTTTGTCTTTGAAGAGGTGGGAATGCCCATACATTACCCCCACTTGACCGTGGTGCTACATTTACACTCCTCGGTGGACAGACGCAGGGGGATTTAAAGAACTGGCCCCATTGTTTCAACTGCCACGCCGTGAAATCAAACTGGCAGAGCTCCGGATTGCAAGTCCAGGGTTGCTGACCGTTCTACCACGTCAACATCACATTTTTTCGAGAGGATCGGTAAAGTTGTTTTTCTTTTTTGTCGAGGAAGAAGAAGGTGGTGTTGAGGAATGTGGCAGTGGTTTAATTGTGATCTTTTGCTAACCTTGTCAAGAGACCACAGCTCATTCGTGTCCAATTACAAACGGTGGAAATATAACATTGGTCATGCAGATACAAACAAGCATCATGCATGAAACTGAATGACCCTTTTGTAACAGTGGCATATCGCATGGTCTGTGAGCACGTTTGTTCTGTGGGTCCATTGCCCGAGGTGAAAGGTAAGGGGAGTATTGCTCATTTGTCTGTGATTCACATCTTTGTGTAACTCATAAACCTCTCTCTGAATGTACATGGAGTATCAATAATCGTTAACCATATACTGGATGCAAATAGCTTATATATATAACATACGTATGTATTTATATATGTAATCGAGAATAACTTGTAGGTAATGGTGACATTCACAGACGTTGTTTATGTAATGGTACGTGAAAATTTGAGGAAATATTGAAAGCAAGCCAAACAAGACAGCCAGGCTGGGTGCAGGCAACTGCCTTTGGTTAAATCAGCTTCTCAAGTGTCGTGAGTTTATGGTCTTAGCCCAGTCGCCTGTGACTTACTGAAAGACCCACCGACTTGCATTGGCCCATAGACTCACGCGGTGACCCATTGACTTATGCATAGACCCATAAAGAGACATATCGGAGTTGTGATTTAACTGGATATCTAAAGTGTAGTGAGCCGATGGTATCAGACCGGTCATCAAAGCCTGCACACAATAAACCCATGACATTAAATGTGGTTCTGCATTTAATTTGGATAGATTCCAATACTTTCATTTTTAAATACTGGCTTGAGAGTCGCACAGTGAACGGTATTATTGGTGGTAGGGCGAATAGGACGTGCAACCATCCACTGCGTTGAGCAGAGGTCCCATGAAGAGAGATCTCAGAAGTAGTTATATTATATCCGCTTCCATGAACTGCTCTACAACATGAAGGGTAACACTTCCCTGTGAGAGATCTAAATAGATTTCCCATCTCGTGATGCGGCGCCGATAGCACAATTGGGATACAATTGTAGTTAAGTCGAAGACAAAACAGTGATCATTGAGTGTAGATGGTGGCACAGGTTGTGCAAGTGGTGTCCTCAGCAGCCCTGACATGGCGCAATGATGTTCAAATGCTGCCTCTGAAACCTCAGCGTAGGTTGTTGGGAAACACGCACACACACGCACACAAGAATAGATTATTTGTTCAAACTGTCCATTAATCTGTCACAGGAGTTTATTTTAAAACAGGAGTATACTGTGGACTTTAGCCAGCACTGGTGCTCAGTCAGCTGGGGGGGAATTCTTCCGAAACGATTTTTGGGTGTGAACTCGACTCGGCTGGCACTTTTCCTAAACAGACCGGGGGAGCCTGTGTGTGTGTGTGCCACTGTGTCTGTGCGCTTGTTTGTGTGTTTGGTTCCGTGGTTTACGCACCAGTCTATGAACCCGGTGACTCGGATTTGATTCTCGGCCACAGCTAACATCAGTGATGAGTGATATCTGAAGGGTCCTGGGCCTCCCGTAGGTCAACTCAGCTTTAAATGAGTACCAGCTGTGGTGTGTAAACATCAGCAATGCGGACAAAGGCAGCTGGAAATGCTGCTACCATTAAACACCCTCTGACGGACTATGCTGGTCTTCATACGTTCTCCCTAGCAGCACTTTCTCCAGCAGTTACTGGGGGGTATACAGGCAGATCGTTGTCTTCGTGCATATCATTTATACACGTGTGTTGACCCGGGTTAGAGGAATCTGGCACATGAGAGACATTGCATATATTCAATTGTAAATGTTGGGCAAATATTCTAGCCGCAACTAAAATTGTGGCTCTCAATGGTAGTCGGTCAATCGTTTTAACCCACACCAATTACTTTACAGATAAAAAAAAACCCTCATGGTATTTGAATTCAACATGGCCTGTCTGAGATCTGAGTGATAGATTAGTAACTGTGGAATGTGTAAACCTGACAATGGGTTTGCAGCAAGCCATATCGTCCTCTATCACCGTCTTGTGTTTATCGCCAAAGGGGCTGGCTGGAGAATCATTTTAAGTAATTTAGAGGTGAATTCCTCCAGGGTTGTTTTCCCAATACGAAATCACGCTCTGCACAAATGAAAAAGGCTGCGGGCGTTATACAGGGTGATCCATTTATAGAGACCCTAATAAAATAAAAGACATTATGAAGAACACAACATTTTTATTTAAAGCCTCCACACACCTCCCAAAAATCACAGTACTCTTATTAAATATTGTATCACTGCTCTGTACGATACGGAGCCATCGCCTTTACCACATTCAGTCATCATATGGGAATAAATGATGGGGTAACTTATCTACGGATCACCCTGAATTTCAGAGGTAAGCTTGGAAGCAAATTCGGCCGGTGTTGAATATCAAGATAAAGCGCCGAGGCTTTGCACATCGCTAGGGGGGACGGGGGTGTGAGCGGGGCGGCCCGGACTCCTGCCATTCGTCTCGTGTTTCCTGTGCCCGCGATGGCCCTGCGGGGCGCGGGGCAAGAAGCAACAAGGCCTTGCTTGTTGTGCTGAGAGCCATGGCGTAAGGCCACCGAGGTGTTGCAAGGTCACATTGCACCATTTGGCCTTTGTGGACCATTCGCTCGGAAGGAAGCAGAGTGGAATGTGTAAGAGCCGCTGTATTTTGTACATACTGAATCCATTGTTGTACATGTTGACACTCTCAATTTTAACTGATCCAACGTTGCTGGTTTATGTCACAGTACGTGGACATGAAAAGCCCTTTTGGTAATCCACTGCTGGATAAGGACACCCCTACGGTTTTTTTTTACTTCACTCCGCTGGTCACTGCAGGTTAGTGATGGTAGGGAGCATAGACTGGGAGTGTAGCACAGTACGGCAATGGATTTAGCAGCTCTGCCCTCTGTTGCCCACAACATAGCCCAGCAGAAGCCGATAAGCTCCCGTGATGTACATGGTGGTCACCCACCCAAG